AACAACAACAACAACAACAACAACAACAACAACAACAACAACAACAACAACAACAACAACAACAACAACAACAACAACAACAACAACAACAACAACAACAACAACAACAACAACAACAACAACAACAACAACAACAACAACAACAACAACAACAACAACAACAACAACAACAACAACAACAACAACAACAACAACAACAACAACAACAACAACAACAACAACAATAAGAAGAAGAACAAGAATAAGAAGAATAACAACAACACCAGCAACAGCAACAGCAACAGCAACAGCAACAGCAACAGCCACAGCCACAACCACAACCACAACAACAACAACAATAACAACACGAACAACACCAACAGCAACAACACTACCAACAACAACAACACCACCAACAACAACAACAACAAGAACAACAACAACAACAACAACAACAACAACAACAACAACAACAACAACAACAACAACAACAACAACAACAGCAACAACCACAACCACAGCCACAACCAACAACCAACAACGAACAACGAACAACCAACAACCAACAACCAACAAGCAACGACCAACAACCAAAAACCAACAACCAACTGCCAACAACCAAGAACCAAGAACCAACAACCAAGAACCAAGAACCAACAACCAATAACCAGCAACCAACAACCAAGAACCACAACAAGAACAGCAACAACAACTACAACAGCAACAGCAACGGCAACAGCAACAGCAGCAGCAGCAGCAGCAGCAGCAGGAGCAGCAGCAGCAGCAGCAGCAGCAGCAGCAGCACAACAGCAACAACGGCAACAACAACAACAACAACGACAACAACAGCAACAGCAACAGCAACAGCAAGAGCAACAGCAACAGCAGCAGCAGCAGTAGCAGCAGCAAGCAACAAGCAACAAGCAACAAGCAACAAGCAGCAAGCAACAAGCAACAAGCAACAAGCAACAAGAAACAAGCAACAGCAACAGCAACAGCAACAGCAACGGCAAGAACAAGAATATGAATTAGAACAAGAACGAGAAACATATCAAGAGCACAAACAAGAACAAGAGCAACAACAACAGCAACAACAAACAACAAACAACAAACAACAAACAACAACAAGCAACAAACAACAAACAGCAAACAACAAGCAACAAACAGCAAACAGCACAACAAACAACAAACAAGCAACAAGCAACAATCAACATCAAACAACACACAACCAACCAACAACAAACAACAAAACAACAAATCACAAACACAACACAGCAAACAACAACCAACAACAAACAACAACAAGCAACAAGCAACAAGCAACAAACAACAAACAACAAACAAGAAGCAGGACGCAAGAAACAAGAAACATAAGCAAGAAACAAGAAACAAGAACCAAGAAACAAGTCTCAAGACACAAGAAACAGCAACCAACAAGCAACAAACAACAACAAACAACCAGCAACAAACAACAAGCAACAAACAACAAGCAACAAGAAACAAACAACCAAACAACCAAACAACCAAACAACCAAACAACCAAACAACCAAACAACCAAACAACAAAGCAACCCAACCAACCCAAACAACCCAAACAACCCAAACAACCCAAACAACCCAAGCAACCCAAGCAACCCAAACAACCCAAACAACCCAAACAACCCAAACAAACCAAACAAACCAACCATCCCAAACAACCCCAACAACCCGAAGAACCCCAAACAACCCAAACAACCCAAGCAACCCAAACAACCCAAACAACCCAAACAACCCAAACAACCCAAACAACCCAAACAACCCAAACAACCCGAACAACCCGGACAACCCGGACAACCCGAACAACCCGAACAACCCAAACCATTTTAACAACCCGAACAACCCAAACAACCTAAACAACCCAAAACACCCCAACAACCCAAACAACCCCGACAACCCGAACAACCCAAACGACCCAAGCAACCCAAACAACCCAAACAACAAAAACAATCCACACAACCCAAACAACCTAAGCAACCCAAACAACCCAAACAACCCGAACAACCCGGACAACCCGAACAGCCCCAACAACCCAAACAACCCCTAACAACCCGAACAACCCAAACAGCCCCAACAACCCAAACAACCCAAACAACTCAAACAACCCGAACAACCCGGACAACCCGAGCAACCCGACCAACCCAAACAACCCTAACAACCCGAACAACCCAAACAGCCCCAACAACCCAAACAACCCCAAACAACCCAAACAACCCAAGCAACCCAAAGAACCCAAACAACCCAAGCAACCCAAACAAAAACAACCCAAACAACCCAAGCAACCCAAACCACCCCAACAACCCAAACAACCCAAACAACCACCACAACAACCCAAACTTTCCAATCACCCCAAACAACCCCAACAACCCAAAGAACCCCAAACAACCCAAACAGCCCAAACAACCCCAACAACCCAAACAACCAAACAACCCGACAACCAAACAACCAAACAACGAAGCAACCACCCAAACAACCAAACGACCAAACGACCAACAACCAAACAACCAACAACAAACAACCAACAACAGAAAACCAACAACAAAGAACAAACAACAAACAACAAACAACAAACAGCAAACAGCAAACATCCAACAACAAATAACAATCAAGAACAAACAACAAACAAACAACACACAACCAGCAACAAACAACAAACAAACAACAAACAACAAACAACAAACAACAACCAACAAGCAACAGCCAACAGCCAACAGCCAACAAGCAACAACCGACAAACACCAATCAAGAAACAAGAAACAACAAGCAACACAAAACACATCACAAACAACAGCAAGCAACAAACAACAAGCAGCAAGCAACAAGCAGCAAACAGCAAACAACAGCAAACAGCAAACAACAAGCAGCAAGCAGCAAACAGCAAACAGCAAACAGCAAACAGCAAACAACAAACAACAATACACAGACAAACGAAACTCAACAAACAACAAGCAACAAACAACCAACAACAAGCAACAAACAATCACAACCGCAACAGCCACAAAACAGCCACAACAACCACAATAAAGATAACAAGGACAAAGACAAGGACAACTACCACCAGCACCACCCCACCACCTGCAACAGCGACAACGAGAACAAGAACATCAGCAACAACAGCAACAACAGCAACAACAGCAACAGCAGCAACAACAGCAACATCAGCAACTACACCAACAACACCAACGACGGCGACAACGAGACGACGACCACAACCGGACCACAACCACAACAACAGCAACAAAAACAACACGTGACAACAAGCAACACGCACCACAGCAACAACAACAATCAAGCAAACCAACAATCCAGCAACAACAACGACCAAGCAACACCAACAATCCAGCAACAACAACGACCAAGTAACAACAACAATCCAGCAACAACAACGACCAAGTAACAACAACAATCAAGCAACAACAACGACCAAGTAACAACAACAATCCAGCAACAACAACGACCAAGTAACAACAACAATCCAGCAACAACAACGACCAAGTAACAACAACAATCCAGCAACAACAACGACCAAGTAACAACAACAATCCACAACAACAACGACCAAGTAACAACAACAATCCAGCAACAACAACGACCAAGTAACAACAACAATCAGCAACAACAACGACCAAGTAACAACAAATCCAGCAACAACAACGACCAAGTAACAACAACAATCCAGCAACAACAACGACCAAGTAACAACAACAATCCAGCAACAACAACGACCAAGTAACAACAACAATCCAGCAACAACAACGACCAAGTAACAACAACAATCCAGCAACAACAACGACCAAGTAACAACAACAATCCAACAACAATAACAACAACGACAAGTAACAACAACAATCAGCAACAACAACGACCAAGTAACAACAACAATCCAGCAACAACAACGACCAAGTAACAACAACAATCCAGCAACAACAACGACCAAGTAACAACAACAATCCAGCAACAACAACGACCAAGTAACAACAACAATCCAGCAACAACAACGACCAAGTAACAACAACAATCCAGCAACAACAAACAATCCAGCAACAACAACGACCAAGTAACAACAACAACGACCAAGTAACAACAACAATCCAGCAACAACAACGACCAAGTAACAACAACAATCCAGCAACAACAACGACCAAGTAACAACAACAATCCAGCAACAACAACGACCAAGTAACAACACAAATCAGCAACAACAACGAAGTAACAACAACAATCCAACAACAACAACGACCAGTAACAACAACAATCAAGCAACAACAACGACCAAGTAACAACAACAACAGCAACAACAACCAAGTAACAACAACAATCCAGCAACAACAATCCAGTAACAACAACAACGACCAAGTAACAACAACAATCCAGCAACAACAACGACCAAGTAACAACAACAATCCAGCAACAACAACGACCAAGTAACAACAACAATCCAACAACAACGACCAAGTAACAACAACAATCCAGCAACAACAACGACCAACAACAAGCAACAACAACGACCAAGTAACAACAACAATAACAACAATAACAAACAACAACGACCAAGTAACAACAACAAACAACAACGACCAAGTAACAACAACAATCCAAGCAACAACAACGACCAAGTAACAACAACAATCAACAACAACGACCAAGTAACAACAACAATCCAGCAACAACAACGACCAAGTAACAACAACAATCCAGCAACAACAACGACCAAGTAACAACAACAATCAAGCAACAACAACGACCAAGTAACAACAACAATCCAGCAACAACAACGACCAAGTAACAACAACAATCCAGCAACAACAAACGACCAAGTAACAACAACAATCCAGCAACAACAACGACCAAGTAACAACAACAATCCAGCAACAACAACGACCAAGTAACAACAACAATCCAGCAACAACAACGACCAAGTAACAACAACAATCCAGCAACAACAACGACCAAGTAACAACAACAATCAAGCAACTGTGCTTTTTAGTGCCGCAGCTTGAGCCTCTTGCCAATTTTGGCCGTTGGCAGCTTCCGAGCCGGCGGGCGCGGCTTGACGCTGAGGTGGCTGGGTGCAGGGGTACTGTAGAATGGCTAGACAGGAAGGCCATAGGTGAATTGCATTGAGTGCCTGCGTTGAATCACCTGCAGCGAACTTGAAGTGCCTCACGAGCCAGGACTGTCAGGCATGTCGGCTGGCAAGGAGTCTTGCCTGCAGTTAGTGAGTTGGATGTGTAGAATGGAGGTGTGTGCACGTTGGTCAGGGAGGTGTCGGCTTGGTGCAACAGGAGCCGCCAGCTAGCGGGGGCCAGCTATGGATCCTCCTTTTGCAGCTTGGCATGCTTGGCCATGCGTGCGCACGAGCGCTGTTTTCAAGTTGAGGCCTGCCTCTCAGATCCGAGGTTTTTGGGTCACGCAAGCTGCTCCGTGTTTCTCATACTTGTGAACAAGACGATCTCGACGTCTTTTCCCTTTGCCCTTGCCTCATGCGTATACGCCTTGATGGGCCTGCGGCTGGGGACTTGAGGCTTGGACGGTAGTCTTCCTGCAAAATAGCGGGACGATCCTTTGCTCCACGCTGTTGCATCTCTATGGGAAGGCCCACGGGGGGACAGAGAGATGGGAGATGAACAGGGGGACTTGTTCATGAGGTGCTTCTTCGACGACTCGAGAGGCATCAGGCAACGCCAGTGGCATGTGTATGCCATACGTACCTCGACAAGCGCTGACTGGATGCCAGGTTTTGCCGTTATTTCTGGATGCTCTCTGGCTAGTTGCTGCGCCGCGGCAAGGGGAAGATGTAAGATGCGAGTTTGAACCCGTTGGCGAGGGACCATGCATTCGTCTGCTTCTGCTTTTTTGGTTGGGCCCTTGCCGCATCAGGTGAGCCACAGTCAAAACCCGGGTAGATAAAGGTTAATTAGCAAGGGACAATCCCAACCATAAATAGCTGCGGAATTCCTTCTTAATTTTTTACCTGGTTCTGGGTCGATCATGTTAATACCAGGTTTTGAGAGTATGACTCAGGTGCTTTTGAGCAGCTTCAAGGCGCTGGAGGAAGTTAGCCGCCTGGCCGGGAATGGCTGTGGGTCAAAACCAATGGTGCCATTTTAGGTGGACCGCCCATTTTAGTCTATTTTAGTGGGGATTGGGATGTTCACTGGTGGTACGGGATTTTGACCCATGGCCAATGGCGCGTTGATCGACTGACTCGTGTCATGCGTGGCCGAATTTCCAGGTGTCCCGCTCTACGCTGCTTGCATGCAGTTGGGCTTCCCAACGGGACCTAAAAAAGGTATTGGGGAGGAGGAAGGCCCGTGCCAACCCCTGGAATGTTTGAAGGTGAAGACTGGCTTGAAGACTTGCAGGAGATATATCAGATGGTTATGCTTCGTGTTTCCCAGGTTCACCGGAGCCATTGTTGGTTTGCTACTATCGCACCAGCCAGAGTGAACTGCAGGTGGTCATTCGGAACACGGTGCCTTTCTTGACCGCGCTGTGCGAGCGTGTGGCCCTAAAGAAGCCGATGGACTCAATGCTGGTGCTGGCTTTGTTGATCACCTTTATGGGCACGATCCTTTACTCCGAAGCTCGGCGGCTTATTTAAGCGGCGTGTACATGGGCTGAAAAAAAATGAGACCCCGAGAAAGAAATCAGGACGTGCATGTTGTATGTTTGTGGGTTTCATCTCTTTGGGCGCAGGTCACAGACTTCACCATCCGTTACAACGGCGCGGTCTATGCCATATCCAATGCCCTTCTAGTTGCTGGCATGTGCACCTTTGAGCGGTACTTGATGACGACAGCAAACCTCGGGATGTCAGCCATTGACATCAACTTCCACCGGGTTGCTTGAGCCTCAGTTCTTGGCCGCACTTGCTTTGCACCCGGGGTGCGGCCCTTTTTGATGAGAATGTGATTGGCCAAGGTCTTGTCCATGCCCTTGATCGCTATTCTCGGCTACTTTGAGGGCTTCCCCTTCACCCTGTTGGAGCTTTCCGCTCGAAGGCCCCAGCCCCCAAGGTGCAGGGAGGTCTTTTGCAGCTTGCCGCAGCCAGGTACGAGGCCACTCTGGTTGCTTCATCATCCTTCGCCGCCTTTGGCATCGGTACGCTGCTCCTGGCGCTGCAGGCCGGTCTGGTTCAGGCTGAGAGCTTGAGGGCTTTCGGGTCGCCTGCAGGGCGAAGTCTCAGCGACCACCATCCAGGCACGGAGCGGCAAATCCGGCCGACCGGGCGGCGTTCAGCGCTTGGCGGCGCGGGAAGGGGCGGTTTCCCGTGAAACCCGTTGCAGGTGGCCAATGTGGCGTACAAGTGCGCAACAACTGTGGTGAGCAGGCTGACGCACCCATCCGAGCTGCTTGGCAAGCAACTGGCATGCGAGAAGAGCAAACGAAAGATAGATCGATTAGGCGGTTAGGCAACCCTCGCAAAACCACCGGCAGAGTGCCATGGAATGGCGGCGCCAGGCTGACATTCATGGGAGTTGTTGGGTACAGTGTGTGCTCCTTGCCCGCAAAGATCTGGTGTATGCAAGTGTCTCGCATTGTGACTGGCCCAGCACCGACAGGCACCAGTGGCGTTCTGACCTACACACTCACCCGTGGCACGGCCAGCAAGAAGGCCTCGGGGCGAGCCTGAGACTCTGAGATCTTGCGAGAGGGCGAGCACCTTGCAGGAGAAGTAGCCCGAGCAAAGCTCAGCTTTCTGAATCTAGAAGCTGAGCCCCAGTTTCACGTCGCATGTCAGAGCCGCAAGGGAACCAATGCCCAGCACGCCGTGTGGCCCAATGACGCCGCGCCCTGCTTTGGGGTAAGGCTTCATGTTGCCGCTGGGTGTGACCGGCCTCACCAGCCAGGCATCGAGAATTTGACCCAGAAAAGCTCATGCCTTGCATGCTCTTTCAAGCCAGCCTTGCAGCATTTTCATCGCACAACCTTTGGCCTGGCAATTGTCAGGCTTGCCGTTGCAATGTGGTGGCTGGTTTCATTGGCTGAGCAGCTGAGCATCAGCCCGGCACGCCGGGGTGCCATGCATAGCTATGCTACAACATCCTTCTCATGCATCACCTGACCTGAGCAGATATGTTTGGATGAGTCAAACAACAGCCACTTCACCTGTGGATTGCGAAGCAAGCAGGAACTGAAGCCACTTTACCTTGCAGCACCATGCCAAAGCCCTGCCACTTAGCGAGAGAAACCGATTCCGCACACAGCGAACGCCATGGCTGTGCTGCACCCGTTCTTCCGGCAGCACAGCGTGCCCCGCCTGGAGGCCGAATGGCAGAGGCTGCCCGCGCACGTGCCCCATGCGCCCGCGTCCTGGTGCCCGCCTGAGACCTTTCGGCGGCGCTGGACTCAGCCAGCGGTGCAGTGGGATCTGCCCCCGAGCAGGGCGCAGCCGCGGCCCAGCCACCCAGTGGCCTGCGATTTCCGACTTGGCCCGGACGGCACTTTTGGCCATGGCCCGCTCGGGCCGGGGTTCGCACCCAGACGCATTGAGCCCTTCCCAAGGCTTGAGGGCCCTGAGAGGCTTGAGAGGCCCGAGAGAGCCCGGGCCGTGTCGGAGGGGCCGCAGAGGTTTGTGGTGAGAGAGCTAGAGCCACAGCGAGTCAGATCAGAGGTGACAGCAACCCTCGACGCCCGGCCGTAGCTGCGAGTGTCATGCTATCTTCTTGTCTTTCGAGCGTGCTTGGTCTCAGGAACAATGCATTGACACGTGCTTCCACTGAGGATCTCTTGTCTGCCTGTGCTTTGAAGCCGCCCGCCGGGCATGCGGCTGTGGCACAGGCACTGCTCGCGGTCTCCCAGCCGGAGCTGTGCAAGGCACCGGTCGAGGTCGCGCAGGAGACCCTGGAAGCGGCGCCGCCGACGCCTGGGCCATCGCCCTGGCCCCTGGGCAGCATTGAAGGTGCCCGAGACTCGGGGGGGAACGTGTCTCCAGGAAGTTTCCAGTGAGGTCTGGGTCCACAACGCCTTCTCCCAAGAAATCTCCCAGCGACACCCGGAGCCTGCGGCTCTCTCCCTCTTCGAGTGCTTTGGTGGCAGAGGGCGGGGCGCGGCGGGTTGAGGCAGGAAGCACAACGAGTCTTAGGGCCTGCCATGAGACCAACCAAGGTGCTGGGTTTCCTGGATCTTTTGTGCTCAGAAGGAAAAGTGCAGAGGAGGACACGACATGTTTGGAGGTAATGAGATTGATTCATGCTTGCTTTGGCCAGTGGCTCGCGGCTTGCATACCGGTGCCGACGTGAAGGACTCGAACATGCGACCTAAGATGGAGCATTTTGCTGGCAGCTTGCTGGAATTTGGCTCTTTCTTCACATGCCAGCTTCGCTCATGCGTGGGCAGTGCCTACAGGTCACAGTGCCACACACGGCAGGATGGTGGCGCACTAAGATGAGAGAATTACACACCTGTGCCATTCGGTACCGCTTTCTTTTCTTTTCCTTGCTTTTCTTGTGTGCGCATGTTGTTCCCGGGCTTTGACTTACATGCGGTACCCGCTTCTGGCGATCCCCTCACCACTCTGCTGTCGGTAGCGGCGGCTGATTTCACCCGCACAACTGCCAGAAAAGCCATGAGCCATAAGGCTCGGCTTCGGCCCCAGCAGCAGCAGGCATGCAAGGTGGGGCGAGGACAGACGCTCGAGAATTTGCGGCCTTGCTCGGGGAAGTTGTTCGCGTTGCAGTTGCTTCTTAGGGGAAATCATGGGACTCCAATTCAATTCTCAAGCCTTTGGTAGAGGGGGGACCTTGCAAACCACCAGCGAAACATGTGCCCAGAAACTGGCCGCTCGTGCAGGACTCTCTGACCCCGGCACAAATGCGGTGCCAGCCTTGGTTTGGGTCGGCCATGGCTTTCGATGGATCGATCTGAGGACGGGACATCGCAGCCCACATCACCTGACGTTTGTGACAAGCTGTCCCCCGTGCCGCACAGCCTGAGCCCACCTTTGTCAGCGCCATTTTCTCCAGGCGGGCTTCAATTTCGCGAGCGCTTTTCTTACTGTGTCCCTTGGTTGACTTTTCCCTGGCCCAGATGACTTGGGCTTCGCACCTCGGGTGCCACGGCGGCATCAAGGTCACATGCATGGCTGTGGGTCAAAATCCCGGTTAGCCCCCAGTGAACATCCCAATCCCCACTAAAATAGGTCCTAAAATGGGTGGTGCACCTAAAAAGGTACCATTGGTTTTGACCCACAGCCATATTTCGGGCACCATGCTCAGAGGCTGCTTGATTGAAGATGTTTGAAGAGAGCTGCCGGAGCTGCGAGGCTTGTAGAGCAGATGCAGGGACTCAAACCGGGACCCCGCAGGGCAGGCAGCACCGGCAACACCAACTACTTGCCGGGACACCTCCGCAAAGTGCGCGGCAGAAACAGCCGCTGCGAACACTTCAAGACGAGTGGAACATGCGGAACCTTCCTGCCTGCATCAGTGCGCTGGCAGTGAAGGAGGAAGAACCTGAGCAACGGCACTGCCTTCGCAAGCTGGAAGTTCGCGTCGCGCCGTGCTGGCGAAACCATCGAGGCCTGAAAGAAAGCGACACCAGCAGCCTGCAGGTGTCGTCCACCCAGTCACCCTCATCTTTTTCCGCTGACGTTTTCAGCGGAGATGGCGGGGACCAGGGCAACAAGCGACATTCCCTGGCAGACTCGTTCTCCTCTTTGTCGTCGCCTCTGGATCTTTCAAGCACCTGGAAGGACTGTTGTCACACGGTAACATGTTGCCCAGGCTGCAAAGAGCCGCAAGTTGCGTTTTGTGCCCACCGTGCCCAAGACCCCCTGCGGTGCATGGCTGACCGTTGCAAAAGCAGGTTGCAAGTGGCAGGAGTTGGAGACGAGCCCTCTTGCAGAAGAAGTCGGGAAGCTGCCCCTAGAAGAACTGCAAAAGCGCGCCGAGACCCTGACGCAGAAGCTGCAGCGGAGAGATTTGGCAAATGTGGCAGCACGCTTGTACTCACCTTTTTCTCAATTCTGAAGAGGTGGCTTACGGAGTAAAGACACGCGTCCTGGTATGTCCTGGTCTTAACGGAGAAAGTAGTATAGTCAAAAAGTGAGAACACGTGGGCCTATCCAGAGAAGTTGTAGAAAGGCATGAGATAAATTAGCATGGTTAGAAAAGTAGAAAAATAGAGAAGCGGTGAGAGAAGCGAGAACAGTGAGACACTTGAGCAAAGGAGAAGGCTGGCTGTTTGATAAGAGGGCTCCTTTTTTCAGCTTCTTGTTTCTTTCTGGGATGTTTCTTTGCTTTTGTCCGAGCTGGCTTTTTGGCTTTTGTGGCGCGAGTTTTCATGGCATTTGGTGGCTTTCTTTTGTGGCTTTGGCTTTCCGCATCCTCAGCATGAGCAGCAACACCCCCAAGCATCACCAACGTGTCGCCACGTTCTTGCCATTGCCCAATTGCGCAGTTTTCTTCGGTTTGGCTTTGGGATTCGGCCTGGACGTGATAGGCCTTCGCGTTGTAACTTCTTAGCTTTCGGACGCTTGTGCTTCTCGATGTTCGAGCTTGGCGCTGAGACCAGGCGCAAAACAGAAAATCCGCGGGATCTCCAGAGGAAGACATGTTTGCCTCTTGTTGACGTGTTTCATTTTAGGCTTGCGATTTGGGTCCGCGCCCGAGGAGAGAGGCAGTGCTTGGCCCTGCGTGAAGCTTTGGAAAGCTGCAACAGCCAATTTCGGCACGCCTTGGGAGGCAGGGCCGCGGCTTCAGTCTTGCGGCTCCCGTACCTTGGGGCGCGGTCGTGTTTGATTTTTCCGGGGAGGGGTTAGATGACTGGCAGAAGCTGCGGTTGGAAGGCCAATGGGCATGGAGCGCATCCTGTTTTTGGTTTCTGTCAGTGGCAAACTTGTCCCTTGTCCAGTTGCCAGTGACACATGAGATGGTAGCGTCAGGCTCTCCGACAATGTTCTGTACAAAAGCCAGTGAGACGTGGGATAGGTAGGTCTTAGGTGCCGGAAGGGGCTGGCGCCGACCTTTGGTTTTTTGGATCAGCATGATCAGCATAGGCTGACCGGGATGCTTGGTCGTTACCTGGAAGATGTCAAGGTGGGACATCAAAAATTCAGCGGGTCCCGTTTCTTCCGCACTTGTGCCGTGAAGCACTACAAATTCAAAGCGGAAGTACGGCTAATTCAGAGCCCATGGGAATTCGATGCACAGCAACGTGCAAAAGAATGCTATTTACGCATTTTGGCACCTTGCTTTGCCACACCTTGTTCTCGTAGGTCGTTCACGTTTGACATTGCGGAACTTGACGCTTTGCTTGCATCCCCCGCACCCCATACAGGCTTCGACTGGTCAAGCCGCCTAGAGAAGCGTCAGCGAGTTGTGCGGCGCGCTGCTGCAATTTTGGCTGGCAGGTGCGTGCTGTCATGAGGTGCGCACACAAGAAATGCCGTGATTATCTACTGTCGAAGGCTGAGCCAGCAGTAAATGCCATCTATGCTTCAGGGAGAGATCCCTTCTGGCAAAGACTGCACGCAGCCCGCAGAAAATGCAAGGGCTTTGAAAAAACAAACCTTACAGAGGAGTCAAGAGAGCCAAGGGAACCTTGCCATGTCCGCGTCACCTCGAAGGCTTTGTGCCCCGGCGGTCTCCCGTTTTGCCCCATGCTCGCTCAGGGGCCTGGGGCTGGCTGCGCTGGTTTTCGTGCTGGGCTTGAAGAACAGCTTTGTCTCAGAGGTGCGCGTGAAAACTTCTTTGTCCGAAAGGCTTACGAAGCACTGGCATTTGAAGGAAAAGCAAGGGAGCACTGATTTGTGACCTCTGGCGAATACCACTGGACGGACATACCTTCCAACTTCACATTTAATTAGCCACAACTGAGTGCATCTTGGGCGCACTGAAGTTCAGGTTTGTCTCCACTACGGAGGGGTTGAACTCAACCGCGGCAAATGCACCGAAGGCACCGCAGTCTCGACCAGAGGGGCGTGTTGCCTTGAAGGCGAAGAAGGAAGGGTCAGTCCACAGCTTGATATGGTTCGAGCGTTTTGCCCTGCAGGAACAGAACGTTTTCGAAGCTGCGGCAGACTTTCTGAAGCCTCGCTATGGCAAGGCTGGGCCCGCACAGCAGGCAAGTTTTGCGTTGTGCTCGGAATGCAGGGAACCGAGCGCGTCTTGCCGTCAAATGCTGAAATGATCGGCACGCTAAAGATTGTCTACGAGGCGGGGGACCATTCACATGCTTTCAATATTTATTCAAGCCTAGCCTGAGCAATAGCATTCTAGCCTCATGGTGGCCGGCACGTTCAACGCAGATAGCACGAGCCTGCAAACCAGAATCCATACCCCTGGCGGTCATCGCAGCCTGCTGCTCCTGACCTAGCCATGTTCCTCACGTCCAGCAGGTGGCCACAAGCCTGGAAGTTCTGACATGTTCTGACAAGCTAACACATGCTTCTTCTAGGATCTTGTAGCGGCTTCCATTGAACTGCCCGGCGAAGCGCGAGCGCATGGCTCTTCTGCACAGAGTCTGACCCGGCGAAGCCATTGGCAACATCATGTGCCATGTGCCCACGTCTCCGCCTTTCTTCCGGCCACAGCGCCCACTAAAGAAGGGACTCTTGGGCCCCGGCCTGCCTCCTGCACAGCCTTGAGCGCCCCAGAGGCGGCGCCAAAGCGTGTTTGCGATGTTCACACAGATGTGCCAGACTACCAGGGCAATGAGCCTCGCCAGAGGAATTTCTCCTCCGGCGCTGCCTGCCAGTCTCGGCGTTTTTGCTACTGAGGTCACCCTCCCAAAGCCTCTGGGCATCACCCTGGCTGATGCCCCTCGTGGAGCAGGAGATGCAGAGAGGGATGCGGCATGTGTGGGTTTGCGACATGTGCAACTTTTTGTGTTTGTATTTGCTTTTTTCTTGGGCCCGGGTAGACGCTTGCCGGAGCATTATCCTGTCGCCTTGCTTCATGGGCCCCGTGAACCCTTCGGACCTCAGCGAGGATTTGGCGTCGGCGTGGAGGACGTTGTCAGTGGCGGCAATGCGCCAGCAGCCCTGTGCATGTCTTGTCGGCAGCCCTGCCCTTCCGCCAACCTCAGGGCCAAGCTCTTGCAGGAGGTCCTCAACGGCAAGGATTCCATGTGGATCCAGGCACGCTGTGGACAGATGTATTTCAATTTGTGACACTCATGGAATTGGCATAGAAAGGTTTGAATCACTTCTGAAACCACTTGCAACCTAGATGTGCCCCCCTGTTTTTTTTGGTTAGGTGCTTTGCTTGACCGGTACGGGCTTTGGAGTTGGCAGTTTGCGAAGGTAAGTCGCGATGATGATGTGTGTGTGTGTGTGTGGATCAGTTGGCACGCCCTTTCGAAGCGGTCTGAGTACAGCTTCGTTTGGCTCTTTCTGCTTGAATGCTTTGGTGTTGCCTGTTGACTTGGACGAAGCGGGTCTGTATGTTGGTATCACAAGACTTAGCCTTGACACAGTGCGGGGGGAAGTGTGTTGTGGCGGAAGTGTGTGGCGAAAATATCAAGTACATCCAGATCATTGGATCTTGCTCGATCAGGAGGGCGATGAGCTTGAAGCGGTGAACGACGTGCCCACCGATGGGTTCCAGGACAGTGCTCTAGCCTTCTTTTCCACTTCTTGGGCTTCGTTGGTTGCATCACGCATCACCGCTTGGTTGGGTGATGTTTGAAGGGAACATCGAGGGAGCCCTTGGTTTTTGCGCAATGGGCGTGGGCTTCCTGAGGACAAGGCGGTCAGCCTGATCCAAGAATCCGGCGATACAGTGAAGTTGCAGCTGTCGCGGCCTCGCAAGGGCTTCATCCAGGCGGCCGCGCAAAGCGCCGGGTTTTTGGGGCGGTCAGACTGCGCCCCTCGAAGGATTGATTTAGGCCAGGTACAAAGCCGCGTTTACTAGCTGATATGGAGCATCACCCGGAAAAGCAGGTGGTTTGTGGACGCATGCTTTAGGGGACCCTGTCAGACATGGCCAGGTTGTATTTCCAGATGGAAAGTCTGCGACGTCACCACGGGCTGCGATACTGAAAAGACTTGCTGAGAAGGCGGGCTGCATTGTTGCTGGCAATAGATAAAGCTTGTCCACATGTGAGGCAGGAGAGGGTCTGGCCAATTGGGTCAAGTGTATTCCCAAAGACTGGAATTGTGAGCATTCTCAGCTTAATCGACGAAGGGTTCCCTGTTCTCAATCGCTGATAGTCTATACAAGCATGCCCGCAGCACGGTTGGGTCGCCTTCGGACCCGCGTGCCACTTGCCAAACCGTCTATTTCGTAAAGGGGTTTCTTGAGGTGGGGGGGGGTGGGGGGTGGGCGTGGTGATAGCGCACTTTCCGTCGTACGCAACTCAGCTTCGTGAGGTCTGTCACACTGGCGGGGGGGGGGGGTTCTAGTCAGTTTCGGCATGTCCCCCTAAGGCAAACGGGCTCCGACAACAGGCTGTCTGCCTCTTTTCGCTTTGCGCACCGTCACGAAGTTGCTCAGAACAACCTTGCACGTGTGATCAGTTTCCCAGCAGAGATGCCAGGATTAAGAGCGCCCGTCAATTCCGCATAGTGCGGCAGGTTTTAGGCGCTGCTGCTTTGAACCAGAGGCCGCTTGTAGATGCTAGTGGATACGGCGCGAATGCTGCGCGCACGTACCATAAAACATACGCGGCAGACGAGATGCGACTGCGGTCTCCTAGAGACCGCTTCGCGCTAGCATCCCTGACTTGACTTGGCTGGACGTGAAAGGAAAGAGCGACCAAAGCAGGGCACCTCAATGATCCCGCTTAGGAGGAGGCTCCACCGCCGGCGAGCCATCCGTCTTGGGTGTATCTCTCTCTCTCTCTCTCTCTCCCCCTGTGTTTACTTATTTATATATATATTAATAGATTCATACGTGTGTGTGTGTGTGTATGAGCCGCCACGCGTCCATTTGGCGACCAGCTTCTCATCATTCAGTCACAATTCATGGTTCATTCATCCATTCACACGCGGAGGGTCACGCATTCGGCTGCCCATGTTTTTGACAGTCGGGCCATGGCTCGCTGAACCCGTCAGGTGGGCTACAACAGTGGCTGCACATGCACTGATGGCAGATGCGGCAAGCTGGGGCCACAGTAAGGGCAAGCCGATATTTTTTTTTGCTGGAGCCTGTCGAGCTGCACGGAAGATACCGCGCTGTCGTCAACTGACGCCCAAGTGACCACACACGGTAACCTACGCATCGAAACAATCGTGCTACAATCCTTCGTGCTGGCGGTGCGCCCATGGGGGGCATTTCACGTGTCCAAGCCCCGACGAACGCTTGACTCATATGGTGCCAGCTGTTTACTGGGCACTTGGGCGGGATTGTTCCAAGCCGCCTTTTGCCAAGGTGCTGGCACAGAGACCCGATCACAAAAGAAGTCTACGTGCTTCCCCTGCCTCTCGGCTTTTGGACGGTGCCGGTATGAAGGCGCGTCACTCTGCGCACGCCTAAGGAACTGTGCTGGGCTGGTCCCCTCGGTGTGCCATTCTCAGCCATCCCCACTGGAAGGCCAGCTTTGCGGGCAGCAAAGGCGACTGGGCCAAAGCTGGGTGGCGCATCTCTCTCTGAGGTGGCGAAGGTCAGATGAGGATGGTGCCAGGCAGTGGATAGTGGGTGGATGCAGGGAGAGAACGTGAGAGAGCGCCTTTTGCAGGCCTGGGGAGGCTGATTTCGAATGCCGGGCGGCACAGCAGCGAGGGCAAGCATGGCGTGACTTGCAGAGCGGGCCGTGCAAGCGAGGCTGGATCCCTTTGAAACTGGAGAAGGCGCCGGAGGAGTTTGACAAGGCCCTCAAGGAGGCTCGCAGCACGGCACCAGCCATGACTACATTGCAATTTGCACTCCAAACCTTCCGCTCTTTCACACGTAACACGCAACTCCAAAGACTGTCAGGAAGCCGAAGCTAGTGGCTTGGACAAAGGCCAGCTAAGCAAGGGCGCTTCCAATAGCCACGCATCCGAGGCAAGCAACAAGGGTACTGAGATGTTGCCCGATTTTCTGGACCCATTTGCGGACTCCATTTTTTCCAAGCGGAGAAAGAGGGAGTGACATCCTCCATGTTCCGGGTGTGGAGTGCCAGCTGCTTGCATCGGGCTTGATGCTTTTGACCTGTCATGAATCAAGGCTTTTGGCCTAGCAAGGGTAAGGTCCGAGCCAAAGAAGTTGGAAGGACTTGGGGCACAGCCGCAACGGCCTCACATAGCAAGCACACGTGACTTAGTGACCCGAGGGCTTTCATGGTCGGACCCGGGGTAGAGCATGGACTGGGGGTTCCCGCCTTCCGAAGGCAACTTTGACTTTGTGCCCGCGCCGGCTGAGAGCGAGTGGACTGAGAAGACCGAGAAGACCGAGAAGACCGAGAAAAAGAAGAAGAAAAAGGACAAGTCGAGCAGGGGCCAGGCTCCGTTGGATTCTGGCGAAGGTTGGGGCGCACCAGAAGGAGGGTTGGAGTTCGGAGGTATCACTGATGGATACCGAACAACGCGAAGGGTTAGCTTCAGTGACGACCCACCCGAATCCCGAGCTTTAGACACTTTCGCTCCTGACAAGTTCGCGGAGAAAGTCGGCAGCCCTGTGGACTGGAGTCCAGCTACTGGCACCTGGATGGAGAGGTTGGCTGCAGATAGCCCAGCTGAAAGGCGGGAGGCGCTGGGTGCTCCGAGCCTCCCGCCTCCCAGCACCTCAAAATCGGCTTGGCTCCAGTTCGATGTGCCCAAGGCCCTCGCATATGCGCCTGATACGCCCAGTGAGGCACCCAGGCCCTTGGAGAGAAGATTCTCTTTCTCCCTCTCCGACATGGCTGCTGCGCCTCTCAGCGCTGGGTCTCCCTACCCCTCTGGCAGCGAGCCGGTGCGTGACAGGGACGTGGATCAGAAGTGGAACCCTTTGAACGGCATCCGGCCGCACTGGAATCCAGGCGCGGAAATTCAGCCCTTCGGCTCCTTCGCGCGGGAGGTGCGTCAGCCGCCCTCTCTGCAAGACAGCGAGGTGCAGAGGGCGGAGGGCAGAGCCCAGCTCTTGCGGCAAAAGATCGCCCACTTGGAGTCAGCTCTGAGTGGAGGCGGGCATGAGGGACACATGACCATCACTGCTCCAATGTGTCAGGATGGCCTAGGGGTTGTGCTCCATGACCTCACTGTTGCCAGCATCACCGAGCCCCTTGCTGAACGAGCCGGCTGGGCTGTGGGCGACAGCATTCTGCAAGTCAACGGGGTGACTGTCTTGAATGCGAGCCAGCTCTCTGGAGAAGTTGCGAAGGCCCTCAGTGCTCACCGCGCGGTTGGTCGGCCTATGGTGTTTGAGGTGTGGAGGCACAAGGCCCCAGCATCCAACGGGCTGCTGGGAACTCCGCCGTCCGCACTGCAGCCCAACATGTTCAACGCCCCCCATGCACCCCATGCACCCCATGCACCCCATGCACCCCATGCACCCAATGCGTGGCCCGAGGCCTTTCCGGGAGGGTACGGCCCTCCGCCCCAAGTGGAACCCGTGACCAGGTCGGCCCCAGTGCCAGATCAGCAACCTTGGGCTGGTCCAAAGCTTATGCCCCCACAAAGCTGGGCAGGTCCGCAACTAGTCGCCTCTTCCAATGCGCGTCCAGACTATCAAGCCTATCCAGCAGCTCCTCAAAGAAGAAGGCGCGCTCTGTGCTAGCCCTCGGCTCTGAAAGGCTGGGCATGTGCAAGAAGAAAACAGGCGAGCGCCATGGGTTTGCCTTGCTTTTGTGCTCGACTGCTGACAATCGCATCACTCTCGCATGTTTTGGGGCGAGCAGTTGCCAGATACATGTCGCGCGGTTGCACCGGGCTCCGAAGTCGGGCTCAGATGTCCGCTTGCGAACCGAGCGTTGCCAAGCGAAATGGCGTTACGCGATTTACGCAGGTCTCTGCGCAGGGGAAGTGGACTTGGAATCTTGGCTGATGTGTGCCATCAACGCACCCTTTGGATGGTCCTAGGGCCTCTGGACGGGGGACTTAGACTCACTCCCTGGGTTGGACTTTAAACTTCTTGGAAATACAATAGTGGTACATATAAGATAACTGGTTACCTTGTTCTTTGTTTCTTTTTTTTCAGGAAGTGAGCTGGAGGAATCACTGTAAAGGTCCCTGGTGAGTAAGCCATGGCAGCCCTCAGGAGGTTTTGGTCTCGGCCGAAGCTGCCGACACTAAGGGCACGGAAGGTGAGAGTCAGCGCCATCCAGCGCAAGGTGGCCTACCTGGCCTTGAAAGCGCGGTGGAAGTGGAATGAAGCAGCTTAGCTCGTATGGCCATGTGACCATGTGGCCGTGGGTCAACACCAATGGTACCATTTTGGGGTAGGTGCACCACCCATTTTAGTCTATCTTAGTGGGGATTGGGATGTTCACTGGGGGTACGGGATTTTGACCCATGGCCATGTGACCATGTGACCAAAAATAGGGGACTAAACTTAATGCGTTTTTTTTCTTCCTCCCCTGTTGTTTGTCATGAAACCAACCCAAACTCGAAACAGCAACGCCCAGATTGATGTGAATATCCTTGGAGTAGCTTGACTTGTGTTGCTTCTAGAATGATTCAGGGAGTTAAAAATTACTTCTCTTGCGAGCTGCACAGCTTGAGGCCGAGTTCATCTGTCAGCGCTTGACGGAGGAATGGCAACGACCACCATTATTGGCTCTCTTGCTGCCAGTCGCGGCAGCGAATTCCTTTTTGCTGGAACTGGAGGGCCTCTCAGAGAAGGGAGTTGTGAAGCTTGGCTTGGAGTGATGCATGTGACCCATGAAGATGTGAATGCAACTTGCCTTGGCTTTCCTTTTTCTCGCAAGGATTGAAGGCTTTGCGGAGACAACGTACTGCGGCCAGGAGGTTTGCCTGTGGGTTTTGAGGCGCGAAGAGTTCCATCCTGCGAGTGCACTACTTGTTTTGGGGGGTCCAGGTGGGCAAACGAGAACCCCGCTTCGGATCCTCCTGCCATCACCCTGGAGCACTTTGCATCGCCACCCGGTGCGAGCTACGTGAGAGGGGTGGCTGTTGCTCGTTGTGATGCGCATGGCCAAGGATGGTAACAGCAGTCATGGCGCCTTTCCATCCGCCGGATTCTGGGCCATTTCTTTGGCCGCTGCATGACAAAGACATCGCTTCAGCTATCGCCATGTGCGAGCGGCGGCCTCACCCTAGGACCATGCACACAAAAAATCGCGCGCTCTAAGACACAGTTGCTAAGGTACGCTGGGGTAGATGCGCCTTGGTGGAGAAAGGTGCTTTGGGCTTTGAGGATAGTGCAGCCACCAGGCAGGAGGAGCTGTGCTCTCCATGCCCTCCATGCCCTCCATGCCCTCCATTCCCTTACCGTATTGTCGCCCATGTGGCATGCCACGCACCACCCTGAAGGTGGAGCGGTGCTTGAAGAATGCATCCTAGACCACTACGGGCGTGAGGCGGGACAAGTGATACGCTGAGCCTTTGAATTCGAGGCGTCAGCGACATGGAACCGAGCTTCATGAGACTTGCATATGGGACTTGCCAGGTCAGCTATGTTTTTGCTTGGGCAAACGTCTTCACTCGCTTCCTGTGGGTGCTGACGACGGTTTGCTTCGTTTTCCACCTCTGCGGCGCGCGGGCGCAGCTGGGTGGCTTCCAAGGCGTGCTGCCACGGCCCCAGTCCAGATGTCCAGAGGAAGCGGCGAATCGGTGGGTTTCAGTCCAGGTGGTACATCATGCAGTTCCTGATCCTTTGCTGGGCAGTTTGCCTCAATGCGCTCACCGGTTCCCGCCGGTCTGTGCTGCGAAGTGGCGGAGGCTTGCCGTCGAACACGAATCAGAACCAGGTGAACTTCCGGGCTGCCCGGCTGATGTACAGTGCTTCAAACTCGGTGTTCCATGCAGACTACAGACTACTCACTCTCGGACAAACTCGTTCAGCCTCCAACCTCACTGCCAGCAAGTCGCCCGCCATTTCACTTGGCATTAAATGGTGCACGTCCATTGTCAAAAGTATGACAATGGCCAACGTGACAATGGGAGTGGTCTCAAATCACCATTACCGCAGTGGTGCCAAACCTCCGGACTTCACGAAGGGGTGAGATGTGTTCTGTGTGCGGGGGGTCTGAGAGTCTGGGGCGACGCTTGCCGGCCCTGTGCTTTCCGAGGGCTTGGACCCCAGCAACGAGCCGAAGCGCGCGCGGCGCAAGAAGGAGGTGGAGCCAGCGCCGGGCCCGGCGCCGGCGCCGGAGTTGCCGGAGCCGTCCCCGCCGGAGTCGCCGCAGCCGTCCCCGCCGGCGAGTACGGCGCAGCTCCTTGGAGCCAAGACCACCATGCTGGATGGCGTGCACCGGCAGTCTATGGGGGTCGCTTGGAGCGGAATGGAACTCTCAACAGTTGTGTTTCGCCATATCACGAAAGCTAGCTTTAGCTAGCTGAAGTTTCTCCTTGCGCAAGCAAGGTAAGGGGCTCAACTGCCGAAAGATTGATTTTTTCAATTTTTTTGAGCCGAAAAGATTGAACAAAAAACAATTATTTAGACGTCCCCCCCTCCCCCCCCCCGTCTCAGGCTCGATTCCTCCTTGGTCCACCCCTCCTCCCGGGCAGTGGCTCAGTGTTCCAGCAGTCTCGGTTTGCCCGTTTTGGACTTGGTGCTACGAACTTTTACATGTTCCACCGATTCAGCTTGTTCATTTGAGTCGAAAAAAAACCCGTTGTATGTGTCAATGTAAGGCATGATCCCAGCTCTTTTGGACCTATCAAATTAGCTGCACCGCCGCTTGTAATTTGAATGGCAGGAGTGTGTTGCAGGAGCGGCCGCGCAAGTCAAACATGGGGCCGCGCAAGTAAAGCGCAAGTGAAGCGCAAGTGACGCAGTGATGATTCATCATCATCATCATCATCATCATCATCATCATCATCATCATCATCATCATCATCATCATCATCATCATCCGCGTGGTCGAAAGAATCCGGAAGATTGCTAAATTTTCGCGCAAGTCGCGCGCAAGTCGCGCGCAAGTCGCGCGCAAGTCGTAGATGCCTTGGATCAGGAGTGGCCCATTTCTGTAGTTTGCATTTTCTTTGTTTCTGCAGATCCCAGCAATGAGTTGCAGCAGCCAGCAGCAGCAGCAGCAGCAGCCAGCAGCAGCAGCCGCAGCAGCAGCCAGCAGCAGCAGCCGCAGCAGCCAGCAGCAGCAGCAGCAGCAGCCAGCAGCAGCCAGCAGCCAGCAGCAGCAGCAGCAGCCAGCAGCAGCAGCAGCAGCAGCCAGCAGCATCAGCCGCAGCAGCAGCAGCCAGCAGCAGCAGCCAGCAACAATTTGCAGCGGTGTGCACACCTGAGACCTCATACGCTTAAGGGGCATGTTTTTGGGGGACCTCACTCTTATGAAGACCGCCGCTTGGATTTGCAATGAAAACATCCTGGGATAAGAGTTTTAATACGGTTTTTTCCAGCTCATTTGAGACCTCAGTCTTCTCAGTAAACCACCTCGCAAGAATCTTTGCACACGCAGCATGCAGAACCCAGAGGTGCTTTAAGACAGCTTCTGACGCCTCTCGTTGTTTTCATTTTTCAAGGTTTGCCACGCCACCATGCGCGTTTGCGTGTCGCATCCTACGAATCTTGCCGGGCTTCTCGTTGTACACAAGCTACCTATGAATCCACTCTGTCACCGACCCATCTCATGCAACAACTGCTAGCTTTTGTTCACCCGCTCCTCAAGTATGGAAGGAAAGATTGGCCCTTCGCAGGGCGCACATCATTGGTCTAGTGATACTTGCTCTTGTTTCAAGCCCTTTTGCCCCACACCCAACGAGGTCAGCAACATGAAAACTTGCCGCGGTCTTGCTGCAGCCACGACATATACTTGTGCGGCTGCCACGTCTTGCACCTTTTCGCAACCACACCATGCCATGTCTTCGGTCCGTTTTTGCATCTTGCCCGCTTTGCATCTCAATGCAGTTGTCGCCGGAGCCGGGCGCGCGATCATCTTGCCAGGGGAGGGCACCAAAGTCATGAGCAAGGATGCCTTGTCTCCGCAGCGCCTGTGTCCAGGCTGCAAGCCGTGAGCTTGGGTCAAAACTCGGAGCGGGATTTTGCGGTGCGCAATGCCCACTTTCGCGAGGGATTAAAGTAGCTGTTCCTGCATATTCTGGGGAAGTGAGCAAGGAGCAGAGCATGGTTCACGGCGCATGAAGCACAATGCTATCAAACAGCCTCCGAGAGGGCATGCGATTCAAAGTTCACCCTGCGCTGAATGCGAGCTGCTGAGCAGCTTGCCGCTTTCAGTTTCTGTCGCGCCAACTCACGTAGCTGGAGGGTAGGATTTAGGGGGAGCAGTTTGGGAAGGAAGCAAGTCGCCTAGGCGACACGCTTTGCACCAACACGAGCAGAACCGCAGTGCATGGACTTGGCCGGGTAGCTTTCACCTCAGGTTGGAAGGTGTCCAGGAGGTGCCGGCAGATCGTCGCAGCGAGCTAGCTGAAAAGCTGCAGCCGCCCGGCTGAACTTGAAGGTCACTGTTTCAGAGCCTAGATGAAGGTTAGGAAGGGGCAGTCCCAGCAGGAAATAGTTGCGGCCGAGTGTTGGAATTCCTGGGTTCACCATTTTTGTGCAAGGTTTTGATTATGACTCAGATAGCTTCTGGCCTTTGCAAGGCGCGCGCTGGTAAAGGCCAAGTTCATTGGAACCTTTGGCAGGCAAAGTGCACAATGCGGAGAGGGCTTTTTTCAGCATTCATGGCAATGAATGGGTCTTGGGATTCCTTTCTGGTAGCCCAGGCTGGGAATCCAAGCAGCGCCGCGGCGGAATTTGGCCTGAGCCACTTTGGGGCTCGTGCACTTGGCTGAGGCTGTTGGTCCGGCGCCTGAACCCCGACTACTCGCAGAGCCGGTGCCCGAAGGCCGGAAGTGAGGGGTAGTGGGTGGGGAAAGACTCAGTAAAGGGAAGCACCCCCTCCCCAACTTCATTTGGATGATAGAAAGCAGAACAAATATGGTTCTTTACACTTCGTATGAAGATCTTTATGCAACCGTGCCTTGCGGCCTTGCGTTCCAAGGCGTGGACGGCCTTTGCGTTGCTCACCACGGCAGCCGAGTGACTGCAGAGTGCGTTGTCCCGTGGCACGGGGCAAGCCTTGCTCAGCCGAGGCAGTGATGGCAGCTTTCCTGCTGCTTGCGATCAACGTTCTGTTCTTCTTCTTGAACTTGCGGCCACGCTGCAGCTTGAGGTTGATGTGCCCTGCTTCTCAGCTCGCGCGGTTGGGCCACGGATGTCATGGCATGAGGAAGACATACTTGATCTACGTGTGGGGCGAGTGCTTGGAGCGCCAGTGCAAGAGCCCAGCGCCGCCTGCCTTGGCTTTCTGCCACTGGAGGTTTGAGGTTTGCTGTCTGACAGCTGAGGAATGTCCATGGCTTCAAAGGGCTGCTGGCGGACATCTCCGCCGATATCGCGCTTGCCCTGGTGCTCGTGGTGCTGCAGCTCGGCGGAGCCAGGCCGACTTGGAGGGGCATTTGAGGGGCTTGGCTTTCTCCCGACATGGCTGATTGATGTCACTGGCTCATGGGCTTGCAGCCATGGCAACATGTGCTCAGCCAAGGCTCGGTGAAGTATGCAAAGCTTTGGCAATGCAACTGGCCAAGCTTTGGAACTTCAAGGCAGGATGTTCTTTTCGGCATCTTTCGTATGCTTCTCCCTGCAGTACATGCGTCGGCGCCAATATATGCAAGCGATGCTGTCCCTCTTTATCGAGGTCCTGGCCAAGGCGCGGAAGCAGTTGTTGAACGCCTCCTTTGTGAAGTATCAGGATACTTTGTATACATTTGCATCATCTAGGCGTTCTGGACTAACTATGCTTCCCTGCTACTTGCTGTGTAGCCCCGCCCTCTTCAGAACTACATGTCTTTGGCTCCATGCGGTCCGCGCAAACTGCTCTCACTTTGGGAGGTTGGGCTCTTCTCGATGCTCCTTGGCCTTCGTAGCGAGGCCGTGCCGCATGCCCCTTTTGTACCCAGAAATCGCGGCCCTCGCCCCACCTGCGCTGATAGGGAGTTTGATCAATCCCAGACCATGATGGCTCGAATGCGGATGAGCGGACAGCTTGTCACATCCGAGGATGGCATTTGTTTTCCTGCCTGGATGGCATGCAGAGCCAGAAAAGGGTGTGCTGCCAGACGTGCGCGAGGCGTGCGGGGGTTACGTGGACTTTGAGAGCCCCGCTTGCAAGAGGTGTGTCACTCATCTCTCCACTGCAGCCCTTCCAACTTTTTTAAAAACAAGTTTGCTTTGCGTATTCGGCTGTGGCCGTGCAGTGCAGCGTGTTTGACGTATGTTGGACAAACATCCTCAGCTCCTCAGCTGAGGATTTGCTCGTGGATGTTTGACTGCGGCCCTGAAGATCAGCTGTGCTGTGCTGGTGCCTGGGCCAAAACGAGCGGAATCAGAGGAGTTTTTTTTTTTTGTTTTTTGGCAGGACATGCCATTGGCTGAGGCTCGTTCCTGTGCGCAAAGGACCTGTTAACATTTGACGCTCGCACGCAAATTTCAGAAGCCAGAGCTTGAGGCAACCTGTCGCTGGCAATCTGTGAGCTGAGGGGGAGCGACTGGATCTTTTCCATCAATGGCTCTGGGCCCCGTTTATCGTATGCCGGCACCTTACATCGCTTACATGGCATGTGTGGCTCCCGCATGAGTTGCCAGCTTCTGTGACCGAAAAAGCCTGTGAGCATGAGTTGCGGCTTGGTTCTGGAGAATTGCTCAGGCCCTTTCGTGGACATGATCCCGGCAGTTTTGGCGCCCTTGATTGCCAAGCGGCTGTCCAAATGGGCAGATTATGTGGGCCCGGGCACTGAGGCCAGTCCCAAAAAGTTGCAGCTAGGAGGCTTCCAAGGTCAGCACGAATGGGATCCCATTTTGGTTGGATTGGGTGAATTCACCACCCATTTTAGGCTTCCTATTTTCGTGAGGTCTGGGATGTTCACTGGTGCGGGGTTTTAAGTTTTTGACCCATAGCCACGTGACTCCAGGGCCAGAAGCTGGGGCTGGGCCGCCGCTGTCTCAATGGATGGGCGAGCTGTTTTTGCTGCTGCTGCGGTAGGTGGCTCTCGCGCCTGACCTTTGGCTGCAGTCGCTGAAAGAGATTTTCACGACCAACTTACGCGTCCATATCCAAATGGTATGGGTCAAAATTTAACCACCAGGGGACCACAGGTTTTAGTCCTTGTTTCCATTAGCCAGGGTGCCATTTTGGGTACCTATTTTTGACCCACAGGCATTTGGTTTTCGTCTTGAGTCCCCGGAGCTTGTGTTGATAGCCCGGACCCAGCCTATCTTGAACAGATTTGGCTGTCCAACGGACTGCACACCGCTTGCGGCAAGGCTGGCCTTGATCTTCGTGCTGGATGCAGAAGTTACCGGCCTGCGCCACTCGGCCAGCCTGGCACATGAGCCCAAATGGCCACGGGTAACTTTTCCCATGTGGCTGTGGGTCAAAACCAATGGTGTGATTTTGGGGTTGGTGCACCACTCATTTTAGTCCATTTTGGTGGGGATTCGGATGCTCACTGGGGGCCAACCGGGTTTTGCCCCATGACCATGTGGGAAAGATCCATGTTTTTTTCGTGGTGTTACCTACTCCCATGTTTATGGGACCTTTTATCAAGCCCATAGCTGCCGGGCCTTCCCAGGCTACCTGTGCTTTGGCCGCACCTTCGGCACCACGCAGCTGGACACGATGGACATGGACGACGACTACTGTGCCCCGAAAGGGGCTGGGAGGGCGTGTAAAAAGCACCTGTGACGAGAACAGGCAATTGGCTGCGAGCTAGGTATTGAGATTCCATGGATTGTTGCCAGTATTTCTGGGCGTTTGATCCCCTCTTCAGGTGAACGATGCCTGGATGGGCCGCTGGAACAAGTTGTCCTCCGCGAGTTTGATGCCTTGGATGAGCTTAAGGATGCCTGGCCCCACCATGAGCCATTCGTGCCGCTCGATTTGCACGTAGGACCTGAAGCTGAACTTCCTCTTTGTGGTGCTTTTTGCCCCGGTCTTGCCGTGGGCCATCATTCCCTCGCTCTTGGCCCGGTTGGTGGAGTTGCGCATCAAGATCCCGCTGCTTGTCGAAAGCGATCTGATGTGGGGCGCACCCGTCTAAAGCATGCATGACACCAGCCAACAAGCCCGGCCAGCACCTGGAGAACACGTGGCTGTGGCTGAAAAAGCCGGTACCAAAATGGAACCCTGGTAAGTGGAAACATGGACCACAACCTGCGTAACCCCTCCTTTAATTGTGAGCCACACCCATGTTGCAGCATGTCCTCTGCCTGTCTCTAACTCTGTTGCATGGCAGTGTCCGGTATCGACCTGCATTTCATGCGCGATGCAGTTCCCAAAAACGCTGTTCAGAATCACATGCCCCCAACAAATGTGTGCCGTTTGGCAGGGAAAACTCCTGATGGTTGAGCATGTCTGCAAAATGCAACGCGTCGCACCACCAGCCAACTGTGGTGCAATGCTTTGGCCCGAAGGGGTGTCAGGGGCAGACCTACCACATTGGGCCGTGTTCTTCCGACTGTCCATGTTCCTGTCTAGTCAGCCCCATGCACAAGTGACAGATTGCCTCACAAGGTTCGCACGGAAGGCAGTCCTTGCACTCCCCCCTCCTACTTTGTGCAGTGGGTAGAGTCTATTTTGATGGGGATTGGGATGTTCACTGGGGGTGCGGGAGTTTGACCCATGGCCGAGCCGAGGAAGCTCTTCCTGGTCCGCCGCCGCAGCTTTCCTCGGGATGCCCACTTAGTTCATAGCACGCAAGAGAGCTTTACAGCGGCTTGGCTTGACGTTGCCGAGCCCTCAAACGTTTGGCGTGCATAATGGCAGCATATTATCCATGGACACGGTACTCGAAAGGGTTGCCTTTATTGTTGTCAGCGCCTCATGTGCCAGGATGTGGTGACAACGTTCACAGTGTTTTGGTATCTGGGCCTGTCACTGGTGACGTTCAACACCGAGCTCCACACGTGGAACCGGACAATGCTGTCCTGCACATGGCTGGGGTCAGGGCTCCTGGGCTCTGTGCTTGTGTGCTCCCTGGCTCAACTCTTGACGACTTGTCTCAAGGTCTGTGAGCCGCCATTATGGGCCGTTTGGTTTCTTTAGCAACGCTGCAAGCTAGTTTGTTTGTTTGGGTAGCCTGTCGTTCGAAGCTGGAAGCATGCTCGCAGGTTTGACAGTTCGCGTCTTGAGGACGCTTGGCTGCAGTCACGCCAGCCCATACACCGGGGGGTGCAGCGCTCTGCGTCTAAGAGCATGCCAGGCAATTCCTCAGATGCCTCTTTGCCCAGGTGCCAAGGTGCCATGTAGGTGCACAGTGTCCTCCTGACTTGGGCACTGAATCCACCCTGTGAGATGTTTCGAGTGGAACATGGCGGTGTGGAGGGACCGGCCAGTGCCCGAATGCTCGCCGCGACTCAGGAGGCAAGTTGAGAAGCGATTTGGCGCTTGCTCCTGACATCGACTAAGAGCTGCGAGGTTTTGACCAGTCGCAGGCCGCGCGCGGTGTGAAGCGAGCATTCTTGAAGCCTTGGTTCCGACAGGCCCCTTCCTGGAGCCAGCAGCACTGGCAGCGATGGCTTTTCCTGAATTGATGCTGCCCCGCTTCGAAGAAGCAGCGACCTGCACTTGTGCCAAATGGATAATAGATTGCAAGGCTTGTTTTGGAAGAGTCTTCTCTACGCGGATCCATCTTTAAAAGATGGCCACAAGGGGAGCAAGAATTCAACAATTTATCAGGCGAGGCGCTGGTGTTTGCATGAACAGTGCGTGCAACACCGCTTCGGCCAATGTTCGGCGGGGTTGCGGAGCCCTTCCTCGAGGGTGACGTTTTAGGGGGCTCAGATGGTGATGCTTGTCGAAATGCGCGCGCCGAACGTTTTGCCTTGTCCGGGCCCCCAAGAATCAATGATGAGAGTCTTCTACCACATGCGTGTTTGCCTTTTCGGCAAACACGACCAAGCAGCAAGCAACAACGCCACAAATAAACGATCCCCCCCATGTCCCTCTCTGTACTTTGTTGCCGCCCCCCTCCTCCCCCCTTGAGGCATACGTTTCGTTGCGGCCTCGGCCTTGGAGGCTAACTGCCCATGGGTTTTGTGTGCCCACTTCACAAGACCTGCTTCTATTTTTTGGAAGCCTCCATTGGAGCTTCGTGCAAACGGCACTCCAGCGTGCATGTCCTGCCTGTTGGCTACAGCTGTGTTGCCAAGCATTCACCCTGATGTGTTGCCCTTTGGCACTCACTGGACTGGCCGTGAACCGGCCAGTTTTGCATGCAGACAACAACGCACGCTTCACATGCTTATGTCATTGCTATGTCTCCTGGCAAGTGCACCGTGTTCCGAGTCCGCTCATGAAGTCTAGTTTATTGGTCACGTTGTCCGTTGGTCACGAGCTTCGTTTGCTACGCTTGCACGCCATCGCCATGATAGCCTTATGGCCTAGGGCCCATGGCCCCATGGCGGCATAATGTATCAGGACGGTTGCAACTTGCAATTGGAAATGCATGGCAGAGGTTGTAGGCTTGTAGGTCCTGGCAGTGCGTAACAGGCGCTTGACGCCAGCATTCTTTGGCAGCGCCGGATGTGGCTCAAGGCATCATGACATCCCTGCTATGTGCTTGGTCGCAGGTGCATACGGATTGCAGCAAATCTTGGGGGGAAACGCATCATTTGAGCATGACCGCCAGCATCCAGTTGCAACATCCTGAAAGATTCGGGAACGGCTAGCTTGATGGCCGCAAGATGGCGCCGCTGACTGTTATCAAGCCTCAACCAGAGGCACGGAGCTTGCCTTGTTTCAAGAAATGTACCGTCCTGATGAATCTCCTGAGACCGTCTATTTTGGGTTCTCCTTCTTAGTCCGCAGGTGAGAGACCCTTCAACCGAGAGAATGTTGTCTCTTGACTCTTGATGCACTCAATTCTATCGACTTGTCGCTGGGCTTGCAGGCCGTCGAGTTCCGCACAGCTCGAGATGGCCACTTGGAACGAATGACTTGCTTTCTCCCTGGATCCCCCCTGCAATGGACCATTGAGCTCCAAAAAAGGGGTCGCCCATGCCAAGGGAATCATTGAAGCTCTAAACGGAGATTTGTCTTACAATGGTGCTTCAATTCTAAATTTCCAGGGGGGCAAGAGCACGGCAGCACTTTACTCCGACGAACGCGTTCGTGGGCATTTAGTGGGAGATTCTCAGCGCCACACTTCCGTAGCTCAACTACTTACTCAGCCGGCATGCCTGACCAGCCTGAACCATTTCAGCAGCCGATGAAGGATACTTCCAAGCGAATGCAGTGCAGCTTTAGCGAAAGGAATTGTAGTCCAGGCTTCCGGTTTTCCTGCGCATGCTTTTCTGATCCCTACCTAGGACTAGCCTGGGACTCCACCCGCAGCAAACACTGAAACATCTTGAGTCGCTCGATGTTTCTGCTCGCTCAGTGCCAATATCTGCACTTGAGCAACCTCGCACTCAAGTATTGACAAAAAGATGCCTCTCCTCCACAGAGAGATGAAACTCGCATCCGCTTTCAGCTCGACATCGATATGCCGAAGAAACTGAGCAGGTGAGAACTGAAGCTGCCAGAGCCTGGGTTGATCCTACTGTAAAAACAGGCTTACGTTGGTGCATGTGTCTTTTTCCATGGGCCAACTGATTGTGCCAAGGGATGCACCCTTTCAAACGAGCTAGCACGTGGACATTCTTACATCATTGTTCATGGGGACGGTGAGTGGGGATCTGCCAATGCAGCAGCAGGTATGTGGGTGATTGCGCTACTCTCTTTTTGGAATTTGACGAAACACGGGAAGTTCTTGAGTTTCGATTTTCTTCTTCCGGACGGAAGAACGCGCATGGCATTGCCTTTTGTCGCCGGCAGCAATCATAGAACCTTCTGCAGCTAATTCTAGTGAAGGATTCGGGTTGAACTCCCAATTGTGGTTGCTGTACCGTGCCTCATACAGAGTCGAGAATGAAAGTTGCGGGACAGAGCGAATGCTGCAAACTTGAAGGGTTCATGCAAGATCACTCATCGTACTCCACTCAAAGGGATTTGTGGTCGTATTCTCTTGCAATATCCTTATGTGAATTGCTTGAATCATGTCGAGAGTACATAAGTGAAATCTCATTGCAGGAAACTGGCAAACCCTCTCTTTAAGGATTTCGGATGTCAGTCGCAGAGTCTCTTGGAACCTCCTTGGATGCTTACAAGCAGGGGAGAGACAGAGCTGCGAAGAGTCTGTGCATTACAACTCTCTAGGACATCCGCACGAACTATCCATTGTTTCATGCTATGGCATTCCTATTGCCTCAAACGACCAGAAACATGCACAACTAGAACGCGGAATCAAGCTAAGGAGGTTGCATGTGCTCAAGGATCTAGAGAGGTTAGGACTCCAAGAAGTGCTTCTGCTACACCAAAATGGCGCGGATTCTGATGCTTTGCCTTCTGAGGCTCGCTCACCGCTTGGGTGCGGCTTCAGAACACGTGCCTCGGACTGGTTCAAGTGGGCCGCCCGATTTCAGTGCCGGCATCGGAGGTGGGAAGGCCAAGTGGCCTACAAGATCAAGACCACCTCGCCCAAGGATTTTACCATCAAGCTCGGGGCTCAGGTGGCTTGCGGGTGCCGGCGAATGGCCAAGGGCGACATGAGCAGACAGCCTAAGGCCCGCGTCTGGCTCTATTCGGATGGGAGAGTTTCACGACGTGCCGCTTGGCTGAAGTTGATGCAGTCATACTGTGGATGGACGAAATCCTGCACCACCTAGGAAGCCCTGGAATGCTGACTCCCATGAAATTACCTACAAACATTGGTTTCCCATGGTTTCAAAGAGGTGCAGGGTTCTGTCCATCCACAGTAGGGGCTCGCATCATGAGGCGTTTTCGGCTTTGCTTTGGCCCATCGTTTGGGTTGTGTGCCCCGCTGCGTTGCTGCACGCCGTCGGGCACGCGTGGCACGTAACACTCATGACTCGGCCCGGAGACGCGGAGATGGCTGCTACTCGTTGAGCCATTCTGCTTGCCCATCTTGTGAGGCAGATCGTGCGGAAAACAGCCGAAGAAGGAGGTAGCCCAGAAAGCAGCTCCTTGACTGTTGGCTTTGTCATGGATGTGTCGCGTTGGATATGTCGAGCAAATCTTGTTCTACGTTTGAGGCAAGAAGGTGAAATTCCTGGTCCAGGTGCGCCAGCCTTTGTAAGGCAGTAATTTGTTGGCTATTTGGACTATTTTTGACTGGTATGATGGGTGACTTTTGTAGTTTCCGGGCCCCTGCGCAGAAGCAAGCGGCCAAACCAGACTGGCAGTTGCCACCAATCAACCCATCCAAACTAGTCGGCCACACGGTAGAGTCTGGCACATGTGCCCGATGTCCCGGAGGCAGCGGCCGTGACCACACAGGCGGCTTTTGTTTTTTCCTGCGGCAGCTCTCCTCCATCGGGGCCCCTTCTGCAGGCGCAGAAGCTGCTACTCTACGCGGCGGACAAAGGCAAAGCGGCGGGGAGGCCCTGCAGCTTGGATTGCAGCGGTCGCTTCTGATTCTGCGCTGCGGGTGTAGCCACGGATGCCCAGCATGGACCTGGCTGGCCTGCTTTTGCGCCATTGCCAGGACCAAGTTTTGGGACAGCATCCCCAAGGAGGCCCAGATCGGTGCGGAAGGTTCGTTGGGCAGGTTGCTTCTTGCCATCATCATTCATGCCCCTTTGCGGGGTACAAACCGAAAAGAAGCTGCCTCTATAGACCACCCATGATCCCATTTTTGCCGCTCCAATCGGCCTTCACCCTCCGGGCTCGTGCGAGTTGGCTCTACCGATCGATGGCCTGTGAAGTTTCGGCGCGTGACTCGGCGGCGCAGCAGTCAGCGCCTCTCCGTCGCGAGGAGCTGCAGGAGCAGCAGCTGCCGGTGAAGCTTGAGGAGCGGGACGAGTTCCACGACGCGGTGGAGGACGCAGAGCCGAAGCCGAGAGCCGAAGCCGGTCCGGGCGAGAGCCGGAAGCCGGAAGCCCCGCTTCTGGTGGCCCCGAAGTTCGGTCTTTTTGTTTTTTTTTCTCCCCCCCCCCCTTTTCATGGGTCCCAAATTTTGGGCGGCGTTCCCTGTGTTGTCGGTTTTTTCGCTCAGGACGTTTCTTCAGTCCTTCCGCTGCTCAGGGCAATTGGTGGTTTGGAGCGTTTGGATTTGGATATTTTCCCCCCGGTTCTTTTGGAGAGTAGCTGGGAACCCCCGCCACTTCACCACAGCACCGATCGATCCGGCTCCGCTTCGGCTCGGCTAGCCCAACGCCCAGGAGTCCCAGGAGCAATCCGTGGACGCCACGGTCAGCGAGCTCTGGAAGGCCCGGAAGGCCAGAGCGCAGGAGGGGCAGCGATTCTGCTGGAAGGCACCAGGGGTCCTTTTCGGTTCTGCTGGGAAAAAATCGATGGGTTTGGTGTCGATTCCTGGCTTGATGCCTGGTGGTTTGATGCCTGGTGGTTTGATGCCTGGTGGTTTGATGCCTGGTGGTTTGATGCCTGGTGGTTTGATGCCTGGTTTGATCATCAAAGCCAGGGACACCCTTCTTTTTGTCTCCAAAAAAACACCTGTGACTTCTGGCGTTCGGAGATCCGACCTGGCTGGGGGCCGGTCTCAAGAACAGGGCGTGTCTTTCTTGCTGGCACCCATTGGGCGGTTGCACAAGAAAGCCCAAAGGAAAACCCGCCATTTTGGGGATCGATCCCCGAAACAAGAGCGCCCAACGAGAGGACCAACTCGAAAGCATTTCGCCCCGCAAGGCTGTCTTACAATCCGAAGCATAAGAGTATGCGGGCGCTGCAGACAGGAACAAGCATGATCTTGTTGAGGCTTTCTCTGTGCCAGTTCTTTGCGCAGGTTCTTTGTGCAACGTCCTCTGTGCAAGTTTGTTCGTGCAACTCCTCGATCCAAGTTTCCCTGCGCAAGTCCTGGGTAAAGTTTACTTCGCAAAGAACGGGACAAACAATGAGACAGCTTCTGAAGACTCATCTGTGCGCATCGTGAGCAAACACAATCTGTAGCGGTTTTGCACATTGACCACGCCAGAGGGTCGTGCGGGAAGTCCAACAACAGCAAAACGCAGGTTTTTGGCATCGACCAGGCTGCGGGTCGCGCGGCTCTGTGTGTTGTGTGACGTGTTGCTTTGTGGGCTATCGCTTTGTGCGCTGAGCAGATCAAGTCTCCTGTGAAATCCAGTTGTTGTGTGCGCTGTCTCCCTGGCCAAGAAGCGGGCGCTTACCGCAAGACCCCTTCGCAACACTTTCGCGGAAAAATCCTCGAAGAACACTTCGCCTTGGCAATGGCCTAGCAGGAGGTTAACAAACAGATGCGAGGCTTGAGGCTCACAACAGTCAACACAGCTCAAGAGCAACCCCACACAACATGGAGTCAACAGGGCATGCATTTGGCAACATCAGTAAGGGCGCTGTCATGGCAAGGAGACGCATCGCCACTGCTCAAGCGCAAATCCCGCGGGCGTGACCGTCGTGCAAATTCCTGAGGAGCTGAAAGCGGCCAAGTCAGGCGAGGCCTTGGAGGAAGGCAGGCCGTGAGCGACAGCACATGGCCGAGGAATGGGCGCAGGGCCGCCATGCGACATAAACTGTTAGTGCGCAAATGGGGCAAACGTCTCCTCTTCGCAAAAAAAAAAACAAAACAAGGTGCCAAGGGGTGCTGTTTGAACCAAACCCCCAACACGTCATCGGCCGGGCGGCTCATCAATTTCGCGAGGGCCGCCTGGTGGCGCGGCTGGCGCTGGTGGCGCGGGCGGCGCTGGTGCTGGGAGGGGCTATGCGGAGCCCGCCTTTGAGGCCCCTCTCAGGTTTCGGGTGGCCCGTCAGGTTGGTTTGGAGCCCGGTGCTTTGGATTTGGATTTGACCCCCTGGTTCTTGTAGAAGGTAAATGGGAAACGGTTTCTGAACGAAACCGGGCTCCAAACCGCCGACTCGGGAAGCTGAGGGTTGGCCGTCCAATCCCAGGACGCTAAGCCAGTGAGGGAACTCCGCGAAGATGAGCTGGCGCAGGTGCGGGGGCTGGACGCGAAGCCGTTCGCACCTGCCTCGGTGTCCAAGCTTCTTGGGCCGCAGCGAGGTGGCGGCAGAGAAGGCGCCTTTGCGGCAGAAAGGACCTGCTCCAGGCCAGGACTGTGCGGGGTTTGCGGCGCTGTGCTATTGCGCGCCCAAGGCAAGCTGACGGGCCAAGACATGGATGACATCGTCAGCCGCATGACCAAGCATGGCCCAGATGGCAAGCCCGTGGTTCAGGCCGCGGAGAACGGAGGGGCATTGTTTGCGTTGAGAATCAGCGCAGGTGACCCGGCCAGCCCCGGCCCCCAGTGAAGGAGCGGCCGGTTTTTTTGCTGTCAACGCAGATGCCGGTGGAGTCGTGTGCTGTGCCTCGGCCAGGTGAGGTGGCTGCGATCGGCCTATCCGAGGGCCCAGCGCCGGAGGCCGAGCGCAAGCCCCTGCAGCTGGCAGTGGCCTGAGAAACCGCCAGAGCTGGCTTGGAGAAATGGCTCGCAACGAGGAGCCCTCCTTTGCGAAGGGCTACTTGAAGTCTTCCGGTTGCGTGTGTTGTGTGTGTGTGTGTGTGCTGTTGTAATTGTATGCGACAAGCTCTGAGGCTAGCAGAGCTCAACAGCAGAATCAGAAGCACGACATTGTCCTGCAAGGCTGGGGCAACTTGTGGAGACTGGGCGCAGTTTGTAAGACCTGCAAGGTCACTCGCGGCCGATCACTTTCATTGCCTTCGACGTTTCTGGAAAAGTGCTCTTCACTTGCGGAAAGGATTGGGAGTCGAACTAGACGCCCCGAGGCCAACAGTAAAATTGATGCAGCTGATGCAACCATCGGAGGACAAGCTTGTCATTGCCTGGAGCGTGCCGGAGGGCGAGTCAGATCCCTAACTTGCAAGCTACGCCATGCATTGGCTAGCGCAAGCAAGTTTTTGTTTCAAGAAGAAGCCCAACAAGGCAGCCCTATTGCGCTGAGGTGCCTCCGCAAGTACGAGGGGCACAGGCGCCCGGCGCTGTTGACACTTGAGGTCTAGGTGCCACAACTTTGGCGTGGCTTGTTCTCGTCAAAGTTTGTTCATTTTGCAATTCAAGAAGTCTGATGAGGTGTTGAACAAAGCTGTTGCACGTTGGTCGTCACAGTTCGCTGAGCCAGTTGGCTCATGTGTGTGTGTGTGTGTGTGTGCGCCTGAGCCTTTGCGTCTCTATGTCTGTAATTACGTCTCTGTGTCTTTGTGTCTCTGTGCCTGTATGCCTGTGTGCCTGTGTGCCTGTGTGCCTGTGTGTCTGTGTGTTTGAGTGTTTCTGTGTCTGTGGGTCTGAGTGTTTGTATCTGTGTCTGTGTGTTTGCCTGGTTGTTGTGCGCTACCTGCATGCTGCAGCTTGAAATGTCGAGCCACTGGGGCATGTGAGGACTGTGTGGCCAACAGTTCTGCATGTGCAGGGGCGCTGTGTGGGCATGCTCCCTGAACTACGACGAGGGCTTGCTTTTGACGTGCGGCGCCGACAACTTTGTCTTGCTCTGGCAGGCGCGAGATGCAAACTCTGCTGCCTCCCTGGGCATGTCGCCTGGTCAGGCAGAAACAGCTCAGCTCATGTTCGAGGCGCACTTCTGAATGTGAGTCTTCTCAAGTAAATTGCTTGCGTGACACTCATGAGTAGCCATTGCAAGAACATGGGCAATGTGCACGTACGTATGAGCAGGTTTCTGGCTTCTGGTCTCACTGTGCCATGAGCAAATGCAGTGCATTTGGGATTTGGATGCTGGGTCTATTGGTTTCTTTTCACTTGCTTCGGGCAAAACAACACATTCCGTCGTCTCTTTGGTCCATGGCCCCTTCTTACGAGCTTTCTTTTCGTCGTCGTTTTGAGACAATTCTATTTCTTGAATTACATAACTACGCCTTGAGCCAGAAACGGCTCCATTCATGTCTGTCTGACCTTCAAAGCGAGGCTCCCAGTGCACCAGGTGTGAAAAGAGCAAACACAGGACGGTTCCAAGCGGAGGGTCAAACAAGTGTGCTAGAGCTTGACCGGATCCCAGTGTAAAACTCAAAAAAAAGCGCTCCCCCGAGCACTCCGGAAACTCGCACACTCAGATGAAGGGGTTTCATGTGCAAGAAGCTCCCTCCTCAGTTTGCAGGTGGAGTTGCCGGGTGTGGTGCGGTGCGTGGAGTGGTCCCTCGGCCTTTGTCTGCGCTTCGCTTGCTGCTGCAATGGCTTCAAGGCCTTTGAGAGCTTTGGGGTGGCTTTTGAGCTTGCAGTTCCCAAGACAGAGAGGTGTGTTCTCACGGCATGATGTTAGCCCCCAATATGTGGCAGTGTCAAGGCGTTCATCTGCGTGCAGGCGAAGCCTGCGGCAGTTGGTGTCTTCGACATTTCATTGGAGGCTGGGCAGCGGTCACTCTGGCCGTAGTCGGGTTCATTCGGCCGGGCCGCGCAAAACCGGTGCTGTGCTGGACGCCACCAAGGCCATGAACTCGAGGTGCGTCACTTCCATCGAAGCGCCAAGGCGGGATGCCCTCGGGATGCTCTTGGGACGCTGCGATTTTTTTCTTTGCCAAGGCTGCCCTCGGCGGCCACGCAGGTGGCATGGGTTGGACCTTACAGGGAGTGGCTGTGCTCGGTGCATGTGCCTTGGGATGCACCCAGCCCAATGCATTGCCTCCAGAAAGCTTGAGCTGCCTTCTTTTTCTTGTGTTCCCTCACGGGCTAAGGATGGCGGCTTGGTGGTTTTCTGGAACGCCCTCAGCGGCTCTGAGCTGTACCGATTGACTGCGCACGAGGACCGGGCCAATCTGTGGGCATAGCGTTGAGATGGCGAGAAAAACAGACTGGCCAGTTCCCTGGCAAGTTGCCAAGGCCTGAAATGAGAGAAAAATGAAGATGTGCGGCTGCCAAAGATATCCAGTATGATCCTCCGCTGATCTAGGCTGATGACAAGACAAGGATAAGACCGCATGCGTGTCGTGTTTCATGAGGGATTTTTCTATCAAAGCAACAAACAGCTACATTTGAACAGACCAGCTCTGAGACAAACCGACACTGCAGTCCTGGGAGGGTCCCACGGCCACAGGAGGCCGTGTCAAAGATAGCGGTGCCGGCAGACGGGCGGCTACTGGCTTCATGCGGGCGGCAGGACATGGAGGTGAGATGGGCACGCATCACTATATGGCTGTCAAAACTGTTTTGGGATCCCATTTTGGTTGGATTGGGTGAATTCACCACCCATTGTAGAACCTATTTAAAACCAATGGTACCATTTTGGTGGGTAGGTGAATTCACCACCCATTTCAGGCTTCCTATTTTAGTGGTTGGATTTTGATGTGCACTCAGGGCTTTTGACCCGTGGCCATATTATCGGAAAATGTTTTGTTCCCCCCTCAGCAACCCCCGCCGCACCCCCACGGTGCCCTCAACAGAGCATTGTCCTAGATGCTTCTGCAAAATTGAAACGGTGACAGTGCAGCCAGGTGAGGCTTTGGTGCCTTGCGAAACCGGGGAGTGAGGATGGTAGCGACTCTGATGACATGGGAGGCAGGAGCTTGCCCAGAGCGCGCCATGCTCGCACACCAGTTGGGCTTGTATCGAAATCGGGCAACCCTCACCATGGGCGGTTTCCATTTTGTTTCCCATCAAAACAAACCCAGGTACACCCAACAGTTCCACTTGTGCTTCTGAGATTCCAGCGGATCTGCAATAGGCGGCGGACCTGCACCAGAACTGATGCGAAGCTTCACCTGTGACCGGCCTCTGAACTGCGTGGCCGTGCGCCCGTCGCCATTTGGTGGCAGAGGTCTGTGGCCTTGATGTCCTGGCAAGTGGTGCTAATGCCAGTAAGCAGACAAGAAACACGCATGGGCCAGCGGGCCTTGCTGGTTTTTGTGGTCAACACCGGTTTGGTAGTTTAAGGCTCACCTTCAGCGAAGCCGCTCTGGAGGAGATGTGCTGTGAGTGGTCCAGTCTTCCTTTCTTGCTGGCAAGCTGCGATTCAGGAGGCTGACGGGGGTAGCTGTATGATGTTGGCTGGCGGTGGCCAAGATGCTCGCGATGTGGCGCTGGTTGGTGCAGCGCGGCAGAGTGGCGAGCTGTTGCCTAACGGCCTTGGATGTAAGCCAAGAGTCAGTCTGCCCCTTTTTTTGGGGGTCATTGGTGGTTTGGGGAATTGAAGCCCTGGTTCTTGTGGCGGAACCGCTTCCTAGCCAAGCCACCAACCCAAGCCACAAATTAGTGGGGAGGTGAAAGATGCCAAGTGGCCATGCTTTGATTTAAGCGCCGCTTTGCGTGCAGCCAAGGCAGGCACAGACGTTGATCAGCCGTGACCGCAGTGTTCGCAGATTGGAGTTGGACAGAAGTCGGCTGCCGAGGTTTGAGCCGATCCCCCTGAGATTCCATCGTGTGTCGCCTGATGCGGCGTCGGGCCCCACGGCAGCGATTAGTGAATGAGCAACCCCCAGACAAAGGCAACTGGCGACATTGGACTGAACCAATCTATAGGATGTCCAGCTCAAGCTTTGCCTGAGCCGTTTCTAGCCGCAACGAGCCTAACTCGAAACCTCGTCGCCCGAGCGTTCGCTTCAGGTTTGGAGCCCTGCCCTGCAGAAGGAGCGTGGCTTGGCCAAAGTAGCCAGGAACCATGGCGCCAAATGAAGCGGTAGCTTCTCTCCCCAAGTGGGCGATTTCTGGATATGACCTGTTTTTTGTCTCCAAGCTTCCTTCCCGTGAGTTGACCCTGCGAGTTCTCCTTGCCCTGCCGCTTTCTGCCTCACAGGTGGGATTCAAAGCTTCGGAAGGGAGGCCACTTTGGCGCCAAGCTCGGGGGCTTCCTGATTTTGCCGCAGCGTTTCGGGACTGCCTAAGGACCTTTGCATGCTCTAGCCTTCAGCCCAGATGCTTCTTGGATGCATGGGATGGCTGCCACCTGCAGATTCCACAAGATTCTGGAACTGCCGCAAGGGTTTGATACTGCTGGGTACGGCCAGGATGCTAAAAGAGCTCAGTTCACTTCAGACTTGCAATGTTCCGCAGCTTCGACAGTCGATTGCAACTGCAGCACCTGTTTGCGACTTTCAAGCCCGTGAGCGGCTGATTTCAGAAGCTTTCCTGTTTGTGCAGGGGTGATTGAAAAGACAGCGCCATGCCTGAAACAGCGTAGAGGCTCGCAGGCGGAAGTTGTTGAATCACAGTGCGGGCCTGCAAGAAGTATGGGCACGCGCTTGCGCTGTTGCAACCTTGCTTTTATTGTGGAAAGGACAATTGTCAGAAGGCCGCCATGTTCAGAACTTATTGATTTGCAGCCCCCCTTTGCAGGTGGTGGCTTGGGGAAGCCGTTTTGAGATTCTGCTCGATGCAAGGCGAAGCTGTGTGCCAGCGGCTCCGAGGATGGAAACGTCCGCCTAAGGGAGCTTCACTGACTGGGTTGCCACACAAAAAGCCGAGCGATTGGGTGCTTCAAAGCTCACCCTATGCGGTCAGTCCGAGCTTGAATCCTTTGCTAGGGATGATGCTCCCCAAATTTGCCACAGTCAGCGCTGTTGTCATCTTGTTTGCGCTGCGGACTGTTTTCATTCCAGGTGCAAGTATTGAACTGACGCCGCAGCGGTTTGAGCCAAGCATGCACGCCTTTTTGTCGCGATGCTGCTTCCCACACAGAAGTCATCGTCGACTGCAAGTTGCACAGCGAGTCACAGAGGCACGAGCTGTCGCGCTGGCATGCTGCAAGCCCGCCATGGGGCACAAGACGTGTTGAAGATTTGTTCAACTGCTGTGGGCCTCCACGGGCGACGGAAGTTGCAGTGCCGTGCCAAAGAGAGCAAAGAGACCTCAGAATTCGTGGAGGTGGCCTTGAACACCTCCGAGCCAGAGGCCGTGGAGGAAATTCTGCTTGCGCTGGGTGCCAGCTCCTCTTCCTGCAGAAGGCACTTGGGAGTGATTGAGGTGACCGCCCAGTTCCCTTTCGCTGTGGACGTGGGCCGCCTGTCCCGGCAGCTGCAGGGGGCGCTGGGCTGGCCGGCCCCTCCGCAGCTGCGGTGCCGAGGCCTGGGCCGGGGCACGTGGATCGACTTCTTCCCCCTCTGCGACGGCTTCGAGGTGCGGCTGCCGTGCCACGCCGCCTCCCCGCAAAGCCCGGACAGCAGGCGGGTGCTGCGACTGGAAGGCAGCACCGCCTTTGGAGCTGGCGCCAGCCTCAAAACCCGCTGGCCCGAGGCCTTGCTTGCCGAAGCACTTGTTTGCATAGCCATGGTAGTACTTTTCATTTTTTCCACCCCTTTACTGTGTTTGACGCTACGTCAGGGTTTGTGCTTGATGTATTGAATTCAATCTTGGAATGAATCCTTGACACTCCTCAATTATGTGCGCCATCAGGGCAGCACATGCAGAGTCACGCAACATAAGTGCAATTTCGACAGTTGCCTGGGCACAGTTAACAAGGCGCAACAAGACAAGCACACTCGCTCTTGTACTCCCTCTTTTAGCTCCCTCACTCCCTGCCTCTCCTATTCGTTTCACAGACTGGCTCTCTTACACATTCAACTGACATTGCGCTGCGCTTCTTTTCGGGTCCGCGCTGGGCCACGGGGTCCTGGTGGATGTGCTTTGCTCAGGTGACCATCCCACCACCCGCGGCGCCGCCGCTTTCTTGGGGCGGAGTCTTCGCCCAGGCGCGGGACCTTTTGAAGAGCATGCGGTTGCCATTAGGTCATGGGTCAAAAGCCCGGTTAGCCCCTGGTGAACATCCCAATCCAACCACTAGAATAGGTTCTAAAATGGGTGGCGAATTCACCTGGCCGGGATCCCATTGGTTTTGGCCCACAGTTATTTGACCTGTGGCCCTGGCAAAGGCGACCGCGTCCTGGACTACGGAACTGGGTCTGGGGTTCTGGCGATTTGTGCGGCTTTGCCGCACACGGATCGGCAGCTTCATTCATTGCGTTGGGTATTTGTTTAGTTTTTTGGCAGGCTAGCCTTTTTCTTGGTGGTTTTGGGGAACCAAATGGCCACCCACCTTCTTCTTTTTTTTTGGGGGGGGGGCTCGAATCCTACGACAAGACGAGCCCATGGCCCCTTAGGCTGCCATGTGCGGGGCAGAGGTGCTGGCTGTGGATCTGGACGCCGACGCCGTGGCCTCGGCGCGGCGGAGCTATGCGCTGAACGGCTGCGAGGGCAGCGCCGAGTTCCGGGTGGTGCCCGAGAGCCCCGGAGAGGCCCAGGCGCTGATGCGGGAGCTGCTCCAGGTGGGCCAGTCTTCTTTTTTTTTGCTTGCGATGGGTGCGAGGGATGCGGGGAATGAAAAATATGACTCACCAGCCACTTCTGTTGCTTGCGAGGGATGCGGGGAATGAGACATGTGACCCGGAAATCGCCCATCCCACTGGTGGTTTCCTCTTGAGGGAATCCTCAGATTCATTCCATTGATCATGCCCTGCTGGGCACCAGCAAGTTTGTTGCCACACGAGCTTTGAAAGGGTGGCCATGGCGGCCATGGTGGCCATGGCCAGCAAGTCAAGTTCAGCAGTTGGAGCTTTCATTCCCGGACACGTACTTATTTTTGGATTTTCGGGTGTCGACTCCGTGTGCGTCCTGGAAGGCCATGTGGAGGCCCTTCCTTTTGCCTCAGGATGGGGCGGACGTGGTGGTGGCGAATCTGCTCTTCCGGCCGCTGCTGGCGCTGCGGGAGCTGTTGGTGGCCGCGTGCCGTCCCCGTGGCCGCCTGTGCCTCACGGGGCTGCGGGAGAACGAGGTGGCGGCAGTGGAGGAGGCCTATGGCGAGAGTCTGGCCATGGAGGTGGAGGATCTCGGTGCCGGATGGCGCCTGCTGACCGGCCGGAAGGGCGCCAAAGAGATGCGGGGTGCGATTTTGGCCGGGAGGGGGAGGCTGACGGCTTTTGAAGGGTCAGGTGGTGTTCCAAACGCAGGCGGAGCCTTTCCAGGCGTCAGGCTTGGCTTTCGAAGCTTGAAGCACGCCCCGCCTGAAGGGAAGACACCATGAGAGACCAAGCTTGTGTAATTACAAACTCATGTGTGTAGATATTCCGTTATCAGTGGGCACCTTTTTCGTTGCCTTGCTGAGTCAAGACCCTCTGGACGCAACGGCGCAGAGAGAGAGAGAGAGAGATAGAGAGAGAGAGAGAGAGACAGAGAGAGACAGATATATATATATATATATATATATTTGTATGTATATATGTCTATGCACAATGATGCATGGAGCAGGTAGTTGAATGCATAGAGTTACATAACAACTGGCAGTGTAGGAGTGCCTTCTAGACAACGTCGTATTTGTCACATTTGTTCCTCAGCGTCGACGAAGCCCTAAGCGTTGACGCGATGTCACGGAAATTTATTGTTGTACCCACGGCTTATTTGTTTGTGGAGCTAGCCTGGAATGCCGGAGTACAAGTTTTCTTTGTGAAGATGTCTTTCACCAGCTGCGCGGCTCGAAAGCTAGCCGCGCCCATGACGTCGGCATCAAGCGATGCTGCACGAACCGCCCCAGTGCGGGCAGGGTTTAGGACATTCCGCGATGGTCCCAACAAAGGGGGACGCGACTTAGGCACGTTGAAGCGTGCCCTTTTTCCAATGATGACCCCGAGGACCGTGGAGTCAACATCGAAAGCAGACTATGTGCACCATCAATATATTGAGCCCACGCACCTTGCCGTGAAGGATGCCAGCTCAGTTCTGACCCAGGATCAGGTCAATGGCAAGTTCCAAGCGATGACCTGCTACTCAGATGAGTACACCACAAAGACCACAGATCGCCCAAAGCCTTGCGTGGCAAAAGGACCCCTGTACTCACAGCACTTCCTTCACCATGCGGGCGGCAACGCTTCGACAACATACGGTGACTACTTTGTCCGCCACAGCGCTGAGCGCCATCACCACCCGGATATTCGCTCCTCGACGCTCACCGCCCAGTCCACGGGTCGCCGCTTCGAGGGGCAGACGAGCTATGGGAAATATTACGGGAAGCCCGAGCCACAGCAACAGCCACAGACGGCCCGGGAAAGCAGCAGAGACAACCAGTCCACGCTCACGGACGCCACGAGGTCTTGCTTCTTTGACAGCCAAAGCATCTACAGCGAGTCTTTCCTGAAGCACCGGCTTCGACCGCAGCCGAATTGCAGACCGCTGGATTCTCACGACAAGTTTGGCTTCAGCGGAACCTCCGAGTACAGGTCCGTGTACACCAGCTGGCCGCGTCCGGGTCCGGGGGGTTGGGCCGACCGCTAAAGCTGTTGGGCACGTGCCGAAGGTCTCACTCGGTTTCAGTCTTTCAGCTGCAATGCTGAATCCTGAGGTATTGCAGCACACAAAAAGCAGTTCGCCAGCGATTTCACAGAGCCATGGTGAAGCTTCAATATGTATATATATATAACTATATGAATAAATATATAGATAGATATGTTTGTTTTCATGGCTCATCAGAACAGCGGAAGCTGGGCAGATATTCAGCTGATGGGTGCTAAAGTGCCATTGAATTGGCAGCTTTCGTGATTTGACATGGTTGCAGCAACCAAGCTTCACCGCAGTGTGACCTGCCTTCCAAACTTGTGGGGCGAGAGAGCCCGAGCGATGTGCCTCAGTGCCGGCGCTGGCAGGCGCCCTTGCGACCCGTCGATTCGAGTCTGCTTCTTGCCTTGTGCTTGCGAGGGTTGCTTTCATGGGGGCCAGGTCTGTCCCTGCCACCCTGGAGGCATGGAATGTGGTGTTGAGAGGAATCGCGGAGAATCAAGTGAGCAACAGTCAACATGGGCAGTTGAAGCTTTGCAGGGAACGGTCCCAACCGTACATCAACTGTTTGCAACATGGGTGGACTCCTTAACTACCAGCTTTTGACTGTGCAAATGTACTGCCAGCCAACCTGAGCGCATGGAATATCATTGCAGACGGAAGGCAGGCTCAGGCCTTCTTAAACCTTTGCTTGGCGTGGCTCGCTCGCGGATTCTCATTCTTTTTTCCCGCGGAGCCTTGGCTCAAGCTCCAATGCACTGCGTAAGCGCCAAGGTGCATGCCTCACGCATGGGGCAGGTGACCAGCCGCTGCATGGATAGGCTGGATACATGCAGCAAAGAGGCAGAGACCAGCTCCGTGTGGAGGGCCGCAAGCCCAACAGGAGAGATCACCGTGGAGAGGTCCAAGAGCAGCGGTGTGATGCCAGGAAGAGGAGAGGAGGAGCCGGGCCCCATCCCAATGGATCGGGTCAGATCCACCCCCGGGCTGCGGGGCACTCCATATCAAGCGCCTTCATCGCCCTCCAGCCAGGCCTTTGTAGATGAGTTGCGCAGGATCGAAGTCAGTGCCGACCGAGTCGTGTACAACCTGGACCTCCACGACAGGTTGCTGAGGCGGCAAAATCTCCGGAGCTACTTCCACATGTGCACGGAGCACCGGAGACTGCAGGTCACCACCTCCTGCTTCGCAGCCTGGCGGAAGAACAAGAAGACCAACGGCTTCGCGAAGGTGATCCCGGTGGCGCAGGAAGGAGCCCTCCCGGAGTTGGGGCCCATCCGCGTCTTCTTCTTCGATGACAACTTGGAGTGGTTTGGTTTAGAGTCCAGCTCTGGCATTTGCAACCTGCGGGACCTATCGACCGGCAAGTTCGTTGAGTTTGCGGAGGGCCAGAATGGCTTTGTGCAAGAGCGATTCGCTCGACACACTGTAGTGCAGCACAGTTCGTTGTGGCGGGTGGTCCTTGTCAAGGCAAACATCCTGGATGCCATCGAAGACCAGGAGTACTTCGCCAGCCTGATCAGCAAGTTTTCCGCGCCCTCGGACCGGTGCGTGGTCTTCATGGACGTGAACGCCACCATCGTGTGCAACGACACGGTGCAGGGCAAGGGCCTGGCCGTGACGCTGCTGGGCACCATGTTCGAGCTGCTGGAGTTCCGGCCCCTCGAGGGTCCCGTGGAGCTCCAGTGCGGCGGCCTCAAGATCCGGGTGGAGAAGATGAAGACGCTGAAGGGCCTGATCAAGGACATGACCGCGGACGACCACGAGGCCTACACCCAGTTCTGGGACGAGAAGACTTGCTGGGACTTCCTCGCACAGGTCCTGCAGAAGGGAGAGGTGCGATGGGTCACAGGCACGGAGCCCATGACGGTGGAGTCGGTGCGGAGCCTCTTCCTGTCGTACCTGGACAGGGTCCCGACGGCTCTGAACTCCGACGGCATCACCAAGAGCTGGTTTTACGTGTACTCGCAGAAGTTGGAACACAGGCATTCCACTGTCTTGAACTCCTTTGGGGTGGACACGAGGAAAGTGACACTGGCTACCGTGGACGAGGAAAAGGATGTGCTTCACATCGCCATCAACCACGAGATGTGGGAGGATAGAGATGTCAAGAAGTATGCTGACCAATTTGTAGGCTAGAATTCTGCCTGCCGCGGGGCAGGCAACAGCTGTCAAGTGACCTGACCTACGTGATGTCATATGTGTTCCATAGTTGACGCATGTGGGGTTGAGGCCAGGACTACTTAGCCCGGATACACACAGACCACTGCCAGCCCCTGCTGTGTAGATCCTAGCCTAGTGCTCGACACTTTGTCGAGCTGTTCGACGGCTCACTGTGATGCACAACTCCGGGTCGGATGGCATGTTAGGCATGAACACGCCGTCCCGACCTAGGGACATATTGAATATACCCGGCATACCCGGCATGATGTCAGCTGTTAGTTTGCTTCAGGATAGTCGCGCATTTGCACCTAGCTCACAGTGGCCGCTGTTTCACTGTCCCCGCAAACGTGGATAAGTAAAGAAGTAAGACGCTACAGGGAGAGGGCATGCCTCCAGGGCAAGCAACGGTTTCACCTGGTGCCATGGCACGCCAACATTGCCCAATCAATCCATGTCGTGAAAGCTCTTGCGCTTCCAGCGCGAGGTGAACTGATCAAGACTTGCGGTGTACATTGAAAAAGGAACGCCTGCCTGCGACCTGCGGCTTGTACTTGGCACACTGGTCCATGGTCCAAGCAGCAGCGGTCATTTTACATGCCCATACGTTGAGGGATGGATAGAGGGCAAGCGTCTCATCCAGGTGAAGCTTTGAGGAGGAGCGCTGCGCAGCATCGGGAAAAGCTTGCCGCTGCTTGATTTTCGATCAACTGAGAGTCTCTACGAGTGATCGGGAGGGACACCCAAAAACACAAAGGACACTGACGTTGAGGCCTAACCAAGAGTCCTTCTGCTTTGTCAGGCACCATGCACGTCCGGCAATTGCTGTTTGACTTGAAAGCATGGACCGCCCATGGATCCACAGAACAAAAAAATAAGTGCGTCAAAAGCATATATTGGCTTTGGGGGGGGAGCGTGCAACTTTCAGGCTAGATGCAAGGGGTGGTATTTCCTTTTTCCGATTCTAAGCAGCACTTTGCGGAGTCACAGCATGGGAAGGTTGCAGTTATGATGGTTCATCCAGGGCGCTATGCAGTAGACTCAGACGGCCTTCATGCCATTTGAGCCATGGAACCCCCCGAGAAGAAGCGGCGGAACTCGGAGGAGTTCGCCTTTTGGGATTTCGAGGTGTCAAAGGCATGCGTCGAAGACAAGGGCGACCTCCTGCTGCTGGATCCATCCAAAAGTCGCATTTTGGGGGATAAGGCTTCCCTGATCATGAAGCTCACGGGAGCGACCCAGCTGGTGATCAAGGAAGGTCGCATATGTGTCGCAGGAGCCAGAGCGCTGAAATCGGAGGTGGCAAAGTATGCAGACATTATTGTCAATGAGCTTGTGCCACCAGACTATGCTGGCAATAACATGCTGCGCATTTTCGTGTCGGAGAGCTTCGCATCCCGCTGGGGCGGCAGTGCAGAGGTAGAGAAGGCAGAGGGGGTGCTCATTGTGGTTGAAAGGAGGCAGGAGGTTCTTCAAATCCAGGTGGGGGATTTGGTGGAGGTGGCGGTGCAGCGGGGCGTGTGGAGTATGGCCAGCGTGGCGGCGCTGAAGGGCACCCGTGCCACGGTGCGCCACACGCGCGACTTGCGCCGCGAGGAGCTGCCGATCCAGCGCGTGCGCCTGGCGCGGTCCGTGGCGATTCTGGGCGCGAGCCACCGGCGCCGCCTAGCGGCGGCTCTGAACATCACGGCCCAGCTGGAAGAGGAGTGCACGGGCGCGCTGGGGGCGCTGCATGAGAACCCCCACCTCAAGGGCGGGGCGGTCTCAATCTTTTTTCGGAAATTGGGGGGGGGGGTTGCGGCGGGGTAGTGCCATTTTTGGGCCATTTTAGCAGATAAGGGGAAATCATGCATGGTAAAACCCATGCGTAGAGGGAACTTCCTGAATGGAAAGGGAAGGGACCCCCTCACTTTTGGAGTTCCTGAATTTGTAGGCGAACCCCTGACAGGCCACAACCTGGGTGTCATCTCCCAGGAGCTGCCGGTTCCGACTGAGGTGGTTGTGGGTCAACATCGTTTTGGTATCCCATTTTGGTTGGCAGGTGAATTCACCACCCATTTTAGGACCTAGTTTAGTCGTTGGATTGAATCGGATGTTCACTGGGGGTACGGGCTTTGGATTTTGCCCCATGGCCAGGTGCTGTGGCGTCTGGAGAAGTCGCCGTACCTCGCGCAGATCCAGCAGGCCGTGGGATGCAGCATCAAGCTCTTCACGCGGCCGCCGCCGGAGTCCAAGGCCTCAGCCAGGAAGCTGTCAGCGGTGCCCTGCGTGCTGGTGGCCGGCAACCTGGAAGAGCGCTGGAAGGGCATGCAGATTCTTGACTGCTATGGGGTTGGAGCTTTAGACTTTAACTTATCAAGTTGGGTTTTCCACTAAACCCCCAAAAGTTGAAGTTTTTGCAGGGGGGTCAACAGCAACCAAGGATTGTGAAGACCATCGCGATGGGAATGGGCCAGAAGAGGCACCCAGCCTTGCCCAATGCGCTTCTCGGGGACTCCCGGACTGTGACCATTCCGAAGGATATACTCTCTGTGGTGGTGGGAAAGCAGATGAGCTCCTTGCTGCAGCTGATGAAATCCACCAAGACTGTGATATTTCCTCTGAAGGAAAAGGACAGGGACATGGACAAGCTGTTGGACATGATGATCGAAGACGAGGAGGAGATGAAGTGCTGTGACATTGCCATCCTTGGAGATCCCAGTGCTCGGTCAGAGGCGGAAGTCAAGGTGCGGTCACTCGTGGAGAAGCATCATCCAGGATTCGCCAACCAGGAGCCCGTGGAGGGGGGTTGTACTTGCTGTCACTTGCTGCTTTGCCCAGGCTGCCGAACCCTTAATGTGACATGAGGCATATGCCGTGGACGGGGATGATGCTTGATATCTTCATCAGGGAGCGCAATTGAATAATTGACCCTGGCCCAAGTTCACGTGCTACGCAGGACGTGCACAATCAGGCCGTGTGGCTGACCAACGCTTCATGTGACATGCAGCGTCGTTGCGCAGCTTCATGGCAGGCAGTTGGCATGGGTGTGGAAAAGCTGACGCTTGAAGGCGAGCTTGAGCAGCTGGAGCCGAAGCCGCATTTGGATATATTTGGATCAATCCGTGTGCAGGTCTGTCACATTTGTGGTTTACTTGAGTGTTTCCACCTTGACACAAGTCAGGAAGAGCGCTCTCAGCTAGCCCAGCAGCACCATGGCAGGAAATGCATCATGCGGACCTGAGTGAGCCCCCCTACACAGCTTCAGGCTGGCGGGGGCAACAGGATGCCTGGTGGAATTTGCCGCCACCTCCGCATTTGTTGCTGGCACGCAGCCAGCCAGGGCGCTGTGCCAGGAGTACATTTCCTTCGCCACTTCGGCTGAAACAGACTTGCAAGTAGCTCGTTTTAGGGCAGATGTGATGCGCAAGGTGAACCACGGGCTGCGATCGCATGTCCATGGGCTCAAGATGCGGGCAGACACGGCAACCAGACCGAAGGCCGGGCTTTGGCTGTTTGGTAGCGATGCCGGGCTTTACGTTGGTTGACAATGGTCCTGCCGGACCACTTGACGTTCGCGCTGTTTTTGGTTGTGGCCTGTCATGTAGCGACGATGGCCACTATCCATTCTTTCCAAATGCTTGAGCGCGTGGCAGGTCCGAGTCATGTGAACCAATGCAAGGGGGCACAGCGTATGTTCCCCTGGAGGGCGCAAGCCAAATTCAGGTGGACAACTGACATCCACGACGCCCGATAGGCTCAGTTGCAGTCCTCAGGTTCCCAGAGCTGTGGCGGCTATGCCCTGGCTGCAGCAGCAGTTGGCCAAGCTGGCTTTGGGCAACAGCACGGTGGTCCCCAGCTGAGCTAACCCCAAAACAGGTGCCTAGGTCAGAGCAAAGGCATCGCCTCGGATCCATTCGCTTGAGCATGGGACAGCATGGCTTGCTGTGGCGTTGCGTGTGCCTGAGACCTTCTTTGATATGGAGACAGCGGCAGGACGGTCATTTCGTGTGATTTCCCATGTCACCACGGGCCGCAAAACTCGAAACTCGTGCAGGAGAGAACGAAACGAAGCGCCTGGTCTTTGCTGGCAACGTCTTGGCACTTCGCCCAGGCGCGGGATGTATGCGGCTGGCATGCGGCAAGCTCCGGAGTTTCCCCTCCCGCTTAACATGGGTTTGGTGCACAGACCCCCTGTAGAAAGACGACTTTCCTCTTGGAAAGGGGGTTTGTGCACTTCCATGTTAGTTGGTAGGGTTCTGCTTTTGGAGGTGTCGGGGCGGGACTCGTTGCCCAAGCCAATGCGCTCATCCAGAAGGCTCAGATGTACCAGGCCGGGCTGCGGCTGTGGCCCGGGGGCAAAAGGGCGGTTGGTCCTTTTTCTTGGTCCTTCTGGTCCTTTGCAGGAGGAGAACAAGACCTTGGAGGAATGCCTTCAGGCGGATGGGGTTCGCGTTGCGGCGAGTGGGACCCCCACCAGTGGCCAGGCGGAGGTGGATGCCAAGAAAGATGAGGCGGAGGAAGTGAAGGCCACCAGAGTGCTGCTTTCGTTGCTTGTAGAGATGCAGGGAATGAGAAATGGAATGACCCGAAAAGGGAATCCATGGGTTCATTCCCACATTCCTACTCAGCACCAGCAATGCTTTCGTTTCATTGTGGCTGCCGCGCTGTTTTGTTTTGCATGCTGGCTTCTTCGAGTCGCTGCAGGCCGTTTTTGGCGCCTTCTCAGCAAAGGCCGGCTCCATGCTTGAGATCTAAGCTATTGCAATCCAGCAGCGGTCCTTCCCTCTCTGCATGTGCATGGGTAGTTTGAAAGGACCGTAGTTTAAGCAAGAGTTGTGTGCTTGCTGCCTTGCCTTCCTTGCTTTCTTGCTTCCTTGCTTCCTTGCTTTCTTGCTTCCTTGCTTCCTTGCTTTCTTGCTTCCTTGCTTCCTTGCTTTCTTGCTTCCTTGCCTCCTTCCTTCCTTGCTTCCTTGCTTCCTTGCTTCCTTGCTTCCTTGCTTCCTTGCTTCCTTGCTTCCTTGCTTCCTTGCTTCCTTGCTTTCTTGCTTCCTTGCTTCCTTGCTTCCTTGCTTCCTTGCTTCCTTGCTTCCTTGCTTCCTTGCTTTCTTGCTTCCTTGCTTCCTTGCTTCCTTGCTTCCTTGCTTCCTTGCTTCCTTGCGTCCTTGTGTCCTTGCTTCCTTGCTTCCTTGCTTCCTTGCTTCCTTGCTTTCTTGCTTTCTTGTTTCCTTGCTTCCTAGCTTCCTTGCCCCGTCTTTGGTTCTGCATGTCTTCCTTTGTGTCTGCTTTTCTGTTTGTCTGTCTTCCTGTCTTTCTGTGTTTCGGGTCTTTCTGTCTCTATTTATTGTTTCATTTGTTTCGTTGTTGTTTTTCTTTACGTGTTTTTTTTTTCTCTCCCTCTCTCCTTCTTTCCTTCTCTCTCTCTCTCTCTCTCTCTCTCTCTCTCTTTGTTCCCTTCTTTATTTTCTTTCACACTCTATTTGTTTTCTTCTTATTATTTCTGCCTTGTTTGCTTGTTTGCTTGCTTGCTTGCTTGCTTGCTTGCTTGCTTGCTTGCTTGCTTGCTTGCTTATTACCGTAGTTTAATTGTTTTGGTGTTTCTTTGTTTCTTGGTTTTTGTGCCTTTGTATTGGCGGCTTGGCTGAGCATGTGATTTCATGGCAAGCCCCAACTGGCCAAGGGCAAAGGCAATGAAGGCAAAGGAAAAGACAAAGGAAAAGGCAAGGGAAAGGACAAGGGGAAAGGAGAAGATCGGTGGGAGGACTTCGCGCCACATGCGTTTGCCGTCGCCGAGATCGACTGAGCATTGCCAGGACGGAACCAAGCACGAGGACCCGCGCTCGCATGCTGTGCTCACACGCCGTGAGTGCCCAATGCGAGACGAGGACGAGGGTGACAAAGGCAAAGGAGATGGCAAGGGAAAGAAGGGCGAGGGCCAGGGAAAGGGCTACGGCAAGGGGAAAGGCGGGATCGTCAACGCGTTGAGTTGTTCTGCCAGGGGCAAAAGGTTTTGGCAGTTTGGCGGGCATGTGCAGGCAAGATCATCTTCACAAATGTGGCGCACGAAGAGTCCTCGACACCCGGCAGAGCTGTCAAATAAAAGCTTGATCGAGGGTCAAGAGGGTCCTTGCCAAACTTGGCATTCAGCAACGAGAACATTCCTCATGCTAGCCTTCAACGCACGTGTCTCGCCAAGGACGACCGCAGCTCAGCAGACGAAGGAGGAAGATGTGCACATAGATGCAGCTGCTGAGGAGCCTCCACTTCCGCTTCCACAAGCACCGCGGTCAGCTGTGCTGCCGGCAAAACCTGCTCGTGAAATGCCATCACCTGCGCCCTTGCACCTTGAGGAGAAGCCCAGACCAGTCGTGCGCGTTGTGCACGCCCTTGGCGCTTCCAAGCCTCCTCCTGCAACAGCAGCACTGGCTTACCCAGCCCATGGTCCGGCCAGTGGGCCAACGCCGGGTGCGATCGCACCCTTGTCTGCAGCTGTCGCACCGCCGCAGACGCCAGCTGGGCCAGGCAAGGTGCGAAACATTGCGCCACCACATACTCCTGCTGGGCCGGGCCGAAACATTGCACCACCACATACTCCTGCTGGGCCGGGCCGAAACATTGCACCACCACACACTCCTGCTGGGCCGGGCCGCACTCCCTTCATCGCTCCGCCGGAGACGCCAGCTGCGCCGCTGCGAGCCCGTGGGCAGGGCCGCACTCAAAGTGTAGCGCCGCCAGCGACGCCAGCTCCATTAAACGCTGGTGCTTCGCAGAAGCTTGGCCTTGGGATGCAGTGCCAGGGCATATTGCAGGGCATGCGTGCTGTTTGCTCAGAACAAGACACCTTAGACACGTTTATGTCATGTTTTGATCCAAGGCACCGCACCGACTTCGCCAGGCCCATGCCGAAGCAGTCAGCGCCCGTGCCAAAGCGAAGCGATGGGATGGCGGACGACCTGATTGTGCCCACAACACCTGCGATGCCCCACACCGTTCCTGTCCAAGTGCAGCCAAGCTCCAGCTTTGCGCCACAAACGCCAGCTGCCATAACCGGAAAGAGTGACACCGCTGACAGCCAGCACTCTGCTCCGCGAACACCAGCAGTCCTCCTCCAGCGCCATGCTCAAAGCCAGGCATCTAAGGCATCGGCCGACCGAGAGCATCGAGAGCTGGCCCTGCCCAAAGCGCCCATGACGCCTGCAGCGATCCGAGACTGGAAGCCCCGCGAGGAAATCTCTGAGGAGCGCCCGGCAGTAGAGCCTTTGGAGCCTCTTGGACAAGGTGCTGTCAGGTGTCGCGTTGTTGCTCCTGCTTGTTTCTGTGCTTTTGCTCAGGCTTGCCCATGGGTGACGGGTATTTAATTATGGTGAAGTTTCGTGTCCTTGAATGCCTGGCGGTATGGGGGTGACCCCAAAGAATGATAGTTGCCAGCAGCTGCAGCCATTTTGAAGCACCGAGGCTACGATTTGCTCCAAAGCGGCGATCAACTGGAGAGAAACACCGCGTTGCGTGGATATTGTTTGTTAGCGACGGTTTCGGTTGGTATGACGTTGACTTGTTGAATTGTGCTAAGCATTGTAGCCGACTTAATTCATTGACTGGCATTTGGTAATCATCAATTTGGACTATACAATTTGCTGAGTATGGAACCCATGGTCAACCCCGCATAGCGAGGGCTCCGGCTACCCGAAAAATTGCCCTTATTTTCTCATTGATTCTGCATATATATGTATGTATTGATATATATATATATATATAAATCTGCCATCCTCCCCGATAATCTACCTTTTTTCTGTTTGAAGGCCCTTTTGGAGGGGGAATGCAGATGTTTCATTTGGATTGCTCCATGCGACTTGACCAGCATCAGCTCACCCTAAATACCAAGTCCAATTATTTGTTTTTCTTTGAACCGGAATTCCTATATACAATATTTTGTAAAGTTAGAATTTATACTATAGAATTATTTCTTTCTCAAGTTCAATTTCAATTCCTAATAGACAATAGAGAAACAACATGCTGAGAAAGGACGTTCTCTTTAAAAGATAGTTTGAAGTAAGAATTCCAATCAACAGCATTCTTTAAAAAGGACATCCCTATTCAAACCATTTTTGAGTCTAGAAACTATTTTCGGTGTTGTTCCCTCTTCATTTCTATTTGGAAAAACCTAATTAGAACATTGAACAAATCATCCTGGAACAGGACATCCCTTTGAAAATCCAAATTGACAATAATTCCAACTATTCAATACCGTTTTCAAAACACCTATCTGAATTCTCTTTAAAACTAGAAGTCCTACTAGAATTATGTCCTTATTACATTCTACTCAAATTATGGCAAACAAATAGGACACGTTTGAACATCTAATTTCAAATAATGCGTGTGATTGCAAATCTCCTTTGAACGGAAATCCTATTCAAATTATCTTTAAACTAGAAGCTCTACTAGGTGTCTTTCCTTACTAAATTCAATTTCAATTCTATTTAGCAAACGGAACAAACACAATCCTAAGAACCCCTTTTAAAATCCTCATTCAAATCTATGTTGATACAATAACTCTAATTGAAACTTATGCAAATCCTTATCGAATTCTTTTTGATTTCTAAGAAGTCAAGTTCAGGAGCCAATGACCCAGTAAACAAGTGATAAAATAACAAGTAAGAAAACACGTAAAGCAGCAAAGAAGTAAAAACAAGTAACATTTCAGTCCATGGTCTTGAAGTAAGCTGCTTTGACCTTGGACTGAAGTATTTTAATTTTTTACGTGTTTACTTACAGTTGTTTTTCTTGTTTACTCTTTTTGCTTTCTTCCTTTTGGGTCATTGGCTTCTGAATCTGGCTGTTTTGCTTTTTACTTGTTTATTATTGAAATCGCTACGCGATCCGCCGACGCCAGTGGACAGTCCCCCATTAACAAACTGCAGGGTGCCTCAAGTTTGGGGTCAGGAAAAAGACGTCTTTTTGCCTAGGTCATTTTTCATGTCCCAGATGCTGAGGATGCTGGAAATGCAAGGGATGCAGCCACACAACTTACAAGAACAAACCCAATCTTCACGCTAAGGTTTTTAAGACTTTCACACACGCGGAATGCTGGGAATGCAGCCGGCTAGCCACAAAAAAGTGCAAAAAACCATGGTTTTTCAATATTTCCCAAAAGCAGCCATCAAAAACCGATACTAGCAACCCCCCTCAAATACCCTAAGAATAGACTTCCAAAAGCACGATAATGCAGGGGATGTTTCGCAGTAACTGCTCCGTACAGGTGGGGAATTGCAAGAAAAATCATTTTTTGCAGATTTCAACAGTTCCTCAAGTGTCACTGCACTTGGCTTCACCCAAACCCCTAACAGGCCAATTCCATCATCGCTTGAAACAGCAAAACGCCACTAGTATCTGCAAAAGAAAGAGACAAATTCATGGCAACGAGATAATCCTGATGATGCTGGGGATGCAGATCCTACGCGTCCGGGGGAAACCCCCCGCCCCTAGAGACCTAGGCGAAACGCAGATTTCTAGCACGAAAGACCCAAAATCACTGGAAACATACAGGGTTTTGGACACGTAGCACAGCATGCCAAAAAAATAGCAGTCCCAACAGCTTTCGGCTTTGATAAGAGATTCCGAAGGAAGACCAAGTTGCGGACTGCCATCTACACGCTCGACTGGCGTCGGCGGATTTTTACTTTTGGGTCATTGGCTTGTAAGTTCAAGATTCCCCGAAAAGTGGCCTGGAGGTTCCGGATCGTCTTTTGCGCTGTTGCTGCTTTCCCCAGAGCCAAGAAAAGGAAGAGAACACTGCAAGCGCCAGCGAATTCTAAAGGAAGGTCGATCAATGGGGGGGGGTGCCATATATCTATATATTTGACAATTTTACCGAATACTTGGAACAACGTGGAAAGTAATACAAAGACACATGTTTACCCGGAAAGACGGACCCACCGGCTGGGGGCCCAAGTCTGGCCAGTGTGACTACGCACATTAAACTAGCGTATTGATACGCATAGCAAAAACGTTATGTAAATCATATTTTTTTAATCATACTATATATGCAGGTAACTTTTATACATAAACATATTTTACACAAAAAATCAGGGTTGCGGATCCTCAGACAGACAGACAGACAGACAGACAAACAAACAGACAAACAGACAAACAGAGAGACTGTTTGTCTGTTTGTCTGCCTGCCTGCCTGCCTTCCCGCCTGTCTGTCTGTATGTCTCTCTGTCTCTCGGTCTCTCCGTCTCTCCGTCTCTCTGTGTCTCTGTCTCTCTGTCTCTGCCTCTCTGCCTCTCTGTCGCTCTGCCTCTTTGTCTCTCTGTCTCTCTGTCTCTCTGTCACTCTGTCTGTCTGCCTGTCTGCCTGTCTGTTTTTCTGTCTGTGTGTCTCTCTGCCTGCCTGCCTGTCTATCTATTTAGCGATCTACTCGTCCGTCCGTCCACCCATGCATCCGCTTATCCATGCCCGTCCACCCGTGCTGCGTCCATTCGTTAATGCATCCAGCGCCCATCTATGTGTCATTCGATTTATCTATTTTCAAATGTAATGTATGCAATGAAATGAAGTGAAGCGACATGAACTACGACGCAAAACAAAGCAATGCAACGCAGCATCTACTGTTTCCCCCAAGCACACATACCCGCAACATGCACACACCCACACCCACCCACCCACCCACCCACCCACCCACCCACCCACCCACGCACGCACGCACGCACGCACGCACGCACGCACGCACGCTGCCTAGCAACGCGAAACTGCCCAGAAAAAACTGTGCGCCGCCGTGCAAGACTGCAGCGACACATCAAGGTTGTTTCGCCATCCTCTTTCAAGCAAGCAGATTTGGCTACAACAGCTTACGCCGTTGCCGCTGCAGAACCAAGCGCACGCCTGCGACGCTATTCGTAGCAGATTCACAAAACTTTCAATTGCGCTTGCGCAAATCATCGGGCGCAGCAAATTGCAGCCTCTTACCAAACAGCACGCTGCAACGCACAAGCAAGACGCAATCAACCATTACAGCAAAACTTTTGCAAACACCGTTCCAGAGTGTCACACACACACACACATGTACATGTACATGTACATGTACATTGCATCGCACGACGTTGCAAAACATTCATTGCACCTGTTTTGACGTTTTCATTGCTTCGCTTGACCGGCCAGAGCGCAGCTCAAATGACGAACCTCCCCGACCCTGACAGCGATGGGGAATATGGAGCGGTACGTGGCAATGGCGGTCGCTTTCAGCCTGGGCCCGGCTCATCTGACTTGGTCACCCGGAGAGATAGATCTTCCCAAGAGGCGCTCACAGGTGTGGATCCGAACGCACCAAATTGGTACTTTACAGGGTTCCAACAGGATCTTCCTGATCCCCAAATAAGTAAGCCAAAAGCGCATACTCAGCTACACAGCTAAACAAGCTACATCGCTTGAGGCAACACGAAATGAGTCAAAGACTGAACCTGGGAGGTCTTTCTACTGGGGCCTTCGCATTTTCTTCCCCGGCACCTGGAGGAGGCCCATATCGCTTTCGAGCGCACAGACACCTCGAAGCACTGTGTGAGCTTGGCCAGACGTGAGGTCGACAGCATGGCCTTAGAAGCTTGGTGGACAGCTCTCCTACTCATGCCCCAAACAAATGTACGCACTATTTTGGCCTCAGACTCTTAGAGCCTGTAGATTCTTTGGAGGATCTTTTTGAAAGCCTCTTGTCAAATGCAGGAAGCGCTTCCTATCTTCCACAGATGCACGTGGGAGATCATCCAAGAAGCCTACCAGAACTATGACCACACAGTTCTGTTGGTGCCTAATTGGTATTTCGGCAATCGCTATGTCCAGCAGCTGAAGACCCCACAGGATCTCTTCTTGGATTTGCCTTTGGAAGCTTATAACGTGGTGAGAGAGAACGTGCAGCCGGAGCACAACGAGGTGATGGTGAGACATGGGCTGTCGTGCCTGGAGTGCTTGACCAAGAGCTTTCCGAGGTTAAAGTTGATCTTTTGGTGCATTGCCCGGCGGACCTTAATTCCCAATCGCACCTCCAGCGTCCCCTTGGAAGGTCAATATCTTCAAGTTGCCTCGCGCTTCCCAGAGAACACCCTGGACCTTCTGCGGCATTGTGACTGGGAGACCTTCACAAGACAGCATACCAAGGACAACTGTGGCCACCCGAAGCGCCAGGGCTATGAGTTGATCTTTCGACTTATTGATGACATCAGGGGATGACTATCAGGGCCAGGTAGGACTGCTCGGATCTGCTCGGTGGTTCTGGTCGCGCGTGAGGATCCCGCTACAAGGCTACATTGAAATTCACTGTTCCACCTACTGCATGGGTTTCCTTTTCGTTTTGTGTGTTTCCTGGTCGTTCACTCTAAGAGATTCGATCTGAACCTGCCAACCGGCTTTAATGGCCAGCCAGGCCCGCAGTTCAAGTCCAAGAAGTTCGGCTGCAGCCCTGCGTCCAACTTCTTGACCGCACTATCGAAGTTGGAGAATGCCCAGCCGAGCTGGCTGTGGTCATTGATGACCTCAAGATCAAACACAAGAATGACAAACCACGACTAACTAACTGAGTAACAAACAACTATCCAACTGACCGATATTTTAAGTATCAAGATGACGAACTTACCAAGATATTAGTCTGAATAATTTACTTATTAAAGTAGAACCGGCAAAATCGGTGATCGGAAATTTTTGGAAATACAATACATATTGCTATTTCTTTACATCTTGATCTTTTTTTGTTTTCTTTTTTTATATCTTTTAATTTATTTGTTTTTTAATTATTTTTTTTTATTTTTTTTTATATTTTTTTTGTTTAATTTTTTGTTTTTAATATTAGATTTAAATTGTTAATAACAATATATAATTATTGTATTTTTGTTGTTTGATAATTATAATTTAATATTTATGGTATTATATATGTTTGTTTTGTTGTTTTGAGAAATATAAAGATATAATAATTTAATAATATAAATAATTTAATATTAATTTATAATTTATATTTGAATATATTAATAATAAAATAGAAATAAGAAAGACATTTTTTTTGAAAAATTAAATAATATATTGAGAAATTTAATTAAAATATATATATTATAAATATTATAATAAATATATTAAATAAAATAATTATAAATAGAATATTTATATATTAAACGATTTTCTTTATTATTTTTTTACAAAATAGAAATTGTTTACAAAAATTAGTATAAATTTCGATTGGAATTTATTACTAACGGTAAATATAACGATTTGAATTTAAAGAATGAATATAATAAAATAAATATTATATAGATTATTATTTTAGTATTATAAAAAATATTAATTATTATTTTAATTAGGTGTACATAACAAAACTATATTTAAGAGCATATTTCCGGCAAATAAATCCGATTAAATGAATATCTTTATTTAAAGGAATAGATTTTTGTTCCGGTATTAATTTTCTCGATTTTATTTCATTAGCCCAGAATTTAAAAAGACTTTTAATTTTTTTTGTGGAAGACATTAATAATATTATCAACACTGGCAATACCAGAAACACTAACAACAACAACAAAATCATAAAATACAACAAGAACGACAACAATAACAATAACAAGAACAACAACAATAACAAGAACACCAACAACACCAATAGCACCAACAACAACATGATATTGTTGTTGGTGTTCTTCTTCTTCTGTTTCTTCTTCTAATTGTTGTTGTTGTTGTTGTTACTTCCCGGATCGACGCTTATCGAATCTGTATTTGACTAACAATTTCGCGCGATTCTTCGGATTATTATAAACTATTATAGGTGAAAGAAATCATTAAATAATTTGAGAAGGTCATTTTAAATGTTTAATTTCCAAATTTTCTAAATTCGAGATAATTATTATATCTACCGTCGAGAATGCTTGTATTTCTTTTACCAAACCCATCACAAAAGGATATTCTAAATAAAGAAATTATTTCTTAGGATTATTATCTATGATGAAATCAACACATCACATAATCTCTATTATTCGATAACAAGATAATAATACCCCTTTCCCGCGCGAGCATTAACGAAAAAGGTTTCCGGATTAAAATCAATATCGATTATATATTTCAAATCCTTTTTTATTTAGGAAATAATATATATATTATCTATCAGACTCAAATCGAGGTCGATTTACAAAAACATAATACAAAATATATCCACTCAAAAATACAGATTCAAACACTATTCCCCCAAAATCGAATAAACCATCCCCCAATTAGATAACATTAACAAAAAATGCATAATCACTACAAGATATATATTCCTAAACGATTCTATTACCAAAATAAACCGAATCCATCAAAACATAAGGCGAAATAAAAAACAATCTTTAGCGGTGCCGCTTGTCTTAGCTACAGATGGTTCTGCAAGCCAAGGTGTTAGTGCATAGGCTATCCCCTTTTGGCCGTGACATGGCTTGCGCTAAACAATTACAACTTTCGAACTAGAGCATATATTATTAAAATTATATATAAATATTAATTATTTAATTCAATTCATAATTCTAGTAAATATTATTGTATTATCATTATATTATTTAATTTAAAAAATCTATATTTAATAATTAATAAATTATTCCATTTATATATTATATTATTTCAATTTATTTATTTAAAATCTATTTATATTTTTCATTCAATAATAAATATATAATATTAATTAAATATTAAATATATTATATTTATATAATTCAATATATATATATATTAAAACACTAATAAAATATATAAATAAATTAACAATTAAATACAATATATGCCTAAATTAAAATCAATAATACAAATATCTATATATATTATTAATTTTAACTATGTATATAATTAATTAAATTTTTGTTATATTTAATTAATACTTTATAATTATTTTTAAAGAATTATTATATTTAATTCTTTTTTAATTATAATAATCAAATAATATATTACATTTATCTTTTAAAATTAAAATTTCAATTTCTATTTATATATATATATATATTAACAAAATACATAACATCTTCTTTACCGAAAGCCGCTGGGTTCAATTGAGTTGTTCTCATGAGAGTCATTATAAGGTGTCATTGCAAGGAATCATCATTATGAAAATCATAATAAGGAATCATTGCAAGGAGTCATGGCAAGGAGTCATGGCAAGGAGTCATGGCAAGGAGTCATGACAAGGAGTCATTGCAAGGAATCATTGCAAGGAGTCATGGCAAGGAGTCATTGCAAGGAGTCATAGCAAGGAGTTATGGCAAGGAATCATGGTAAGGAGTCATGGCAAGGAGTTATTGGAAGGAATCCTGGCAAGGAGTCATAGCAAGGAGTCATTGCAAGGAGTCATTGCAAGGAGTTATTGCAAGGAGTCATTGCAAGGAGTAATGGCAAGGATTGTAACTTGCCATTGACTCCACGCACTTGCAATTTGCACTTGACTCCATGCACTTGGCTCCTTGGACTTGGCTCCTTGCACTTGCAACTTGCACTTAACTCCATGCACTTGCGACTTGCACTTGACTCCATGCACTTGGCTCCTTGCAACTTGCAATGGCTCTCACGACTCCTTGCAATAACTCCTTGCAATGACTCCTTGCAATGACTCCTTGCAATAACTCCTTACAATAACTCCTTACAATGACTCCTTGAAACAAGCAAGGAGTCAAGTGCAAGTTGCAAGTGCAAGGAGTCAAGTGCAATTAACTTGGGAGGAGTTAAAATCTCTTCTTAAGGCGGCGGGGTAGTTCCGACGACACTACACGAAAATCGACCCTCTGCGGGGATTGGCGTGGTCGAGGTGCAAAAACCCATGGTTTTTTTCCGATTTCCAACATGCCCGTGCGACCCTCTGCGGGGATCGGCGTAATCGAGGTGCAAAAACCCATGGTTTTTTGCGATTTCCAACATGCCCGCGCGACCCTCTGTCGGGATCGGCATGGTCGAGGAGTCGAGGTGCAAAAACTCGTGGTTTTTGCGATTTCTGCGGTGCTCGCGTAACCCTCTACGGGGATCGACGTGGTCGAGGTGCAAAAACCCATGGGTTTTTTGCGTTTTCTGCGGTGCCCGCGCAACCCTCTGCGGGGATCGTCGAGGTGCAAAAATTCGAGGTTTTTTGCGATTTCTACGGTGCTCGTGCAACCCTCTACGGGAATCGACGTAGTAGAGGTGCAAAAACTCGAGGTTTTTGTGACTTTTGTTGTTCGAACTAATCCTCGGGAGTTTTCTCGTGAATTGCACGCCTGCTCCCGGAACCGGCGGGTCGCGGGTTCGATTCCTCCCTGATGAATCGAACCCGCGGGCGGGCGTCGCAAGATGCAACTTGCATTTTAAAACAATTTACGCAGAGCAACTTGCGCAGAGCAAATTGCACAAAACAACTTGCGCAGGTTAACTTACACCGACCAATTTGCGCAAAGCGCCTTGCCTAAAGCAACTTGCGCAAAGCAATTAACGCAGAGCAACTTGCACAGAGCAACTTACACAGAGCAATTTGCAGGGAGTACAATTTGCACAGAGCAACTTAACTTATAGGGATCAACTTGCCGGAACAACTAGCGCGGAGCAATTTATATAGAGCAATTTGCACAAACCAACTTGCACCGACCAATTTACACAAAACACCTTATCTAAAACTATCTCGTGCTTGCTTCATAAATGCTTCATGTAAAAAGAGAAAAATAAAATAAAATCCTACAACGATAAACCGACCTCGTTTATAATATTCTGCTTTCGGGCCAACCATAATCTAATTTTCTAAATTTTATATTTCAATTTCTATAATTTCAAATTATAATATTTTCAAATTTCATTTATTTGTAAAATGATTTTAAAAAACCAAAATATAATTATAATTTATATATTTATATAATATTTCATTTTATTTTATTTCATATATTTAAATATTTCTATATTCATTTTTTTTTTTTTATAAGACAATATTCTATATAATCATATTTGTTTCAAATTTAAAATTCCTCAATTGAATCTATATGTATATATATATATATAGATATATATCTACATAATCAATGTTTCTTGTGGTCAGAACGACCTGCGCATTCCATGTTGCGCTTATGCCCTTTCCGGCCATTCGGTGATGCCTAGGGGAAAATGTGCCATTTCGCAGTCAAGCACTGCGAATGGCAGATAATTAGCGCATGCCTGGATTCTAACAAGTGTGAACCCATCTTCATGGCCGCAAACCAAACCCATTGGACAGGTCGCGGTGGCATGTGCCAAGCTTGCCAAGACCCAATCAGGCAATCCTGGGTGAAGGGTTGGCATGTCCTCACACGAAAATGGCCTGCTGAAGATCTAACGCCCAGGTCTCACTGTAGAGCTTGCCGAAGGTGGAGCTGGAGCCGCTGCCGCCCATGGTGAACAGCTTACCCTGGTGCACCACCGGCCAGAAGTCGTACCTGCCACCACATGGCTGTGGTTGTCAAAACAGTTTTGGTGGATCCCATTTTGGTTGGTCAGGATTTTCACCCACAGCCGCATCTGGCTTGGTTTCGAAATGGGGATCCCTGAAAAAGGGGGGTTGCTGTGGTTCCCGTTTTGAAGTGGACCCAAAAAGGAAGTCCTACCATCCCCATAGGGTGCCAATGATATTTTCACTGTAGACCCTCCCTCGAATCCATGAAAAGTCGGATTTGTTTCCCTGACCAAGAGAACAAAAAAACTCTGTAGCGCCTTCGGTAGCCCCGGGTCTTGGCTTGGGACACCAATGGAGATCAATTGCCGAATCGATTCGGGTGATCGAGGCTTGAAGGACTTCATGCAAAAACATGAAAAAACAATCCATCCTTGCAAAGGGCTGTGGTACAACAAAAAGGGCTTCCCAAAAGACTCACCCCCGATTTAAAGAGGGAGATTCCCTTGTATCACAGAAGTGGGACAACCCCCTTGATCCCACAACCATGTAGGTTCTTGCATCCTTCCAACAAGTGAACATTATGAGAATCAACTACCCAATTGCAAGACAGCTGCATAGCCAAGCTTGCCGTGGCTCGCGATGACGCATTTGCTTTCAAACAAACACGAACGCGGAAACAGCCCCGCAGATGGGTTGGTCACAGCTTGTTTCCCCTCAACTAGCAACAAAACAAGGGTGTCTCTGCAACATTTGGACACCCTATCGTGTATAGCTATGTATAAAGCTTGAGCCTAAATCCAACCCTCGAAAAAAGTCCAAGAAAAGGCGCATTCCGAAGATCAGCGCGCGCCTCCACGAACCAAGCCATAAGAGGCCACCCCAAGGTGCAAACACAAAATCAAACCGCCTCTCTCAGAATTATGTTTCGGACACTTTCCCCGTTCGGAGCGACCCCACGTGTCTTTCCCCTTTCCAACTGAAAACCCTGCCCTCGGATCGATCGATCGACGCCTGCCGCACTTCGTGGAGTTGCAGTTCCAGGCCAGTCCGGGGCTCTTGGTCCAGTCCTACGAGAACTTCACAATTGGTCTACCCAGAACCATGTGGCCATGGGTCATAACCTATGGCGATCCCATTTTGGGGCGGATGAACACCCATGTACCACCCATTTTGATGTTCATCAGGGGTACAGGGTTTTGACCCACAACCATGTGGCTGTGCACCAGGAATTGGACCGCAGGGTTTTAGTCCATGTTTCCTCTTACCCGGTTCCATTTTGGGGTTACCCTATTTTTGACCCACAGCCATGTAAAGAATTAAGAAGGCCGCAACTACTTCTGGCTGGGACTGCCCCTTAACCTTCATCTACGCGGGATTTGAGCACGTGGCTCAATTGAGATTGGAACCTGACGTTGGGGACCCGGTCCCGTTAAAAGGACAATGGTCCCCCCCTGCCACATGAGACGCCTTTGTTGCTTTTGCTTTTTTCCCCGTAGCCGCCACGTCAGAAGTAACCTGAGCTGTGGCTCCTAAGCATGGCGCACAGCTGGGAACGCACGAGGCTTGCAAACGCACGCTGTTTGATCTAAGCCGTGCGAAAATCTGATACAGCCTCTCAACACCTCAGGCGTCGAGAGGTTGACTCGGCACAATGTTGTCGTTCACATTGAACAAATTCTTGGGATCATATTTTGCCTTGACCGCTTGCAACCTCTGGAGGTTGGGGCCGTAAATGTTTCGGCCACCGGTCTGGCCGGTGTTCAACATGATGCCAATGGAACCTCCCTCAGACTCGTTGAGCTTCTGCTCTTCCGAAGTCGGGGCCTCCGTTGGCACCTGGCAACGGACTCACTTGTGGCGCCACAGCTTTGATTATCACAACTACAACAAACAAACCTGGGCCTGACAATGCTTCCCCAAGCAACATTTGTCCATCACGTCCAAACACAAACAGAGCCCCCTCAAAAGAAACGTTGCGAAAGCCTTCTGGAGCAGCACAAGAGGCTTGAACCTGGATTGCTGAATGATGCAAACCAGTGAACCGATTTCTACAGCAGCTTCTGCGTCCCAAGATGTTTACGGACACTGTCAGAACCCTGTTTGGCCAGTCGCCCGTCAACGTGCCTTGTTGTGCACGGCCACCTCGCCCAGAACGCCATAGCCAGCACCCCGGGAGAAGGGCAGCAACTCAGCCTTTACATCCCGCACCCACTTCACAACCTTGCTGCGCTCCTCCTGACACGTTTTAACACCCACGGCCCCTTTAAGGCTGGCAGCCTAAGCAAAAACCACCTGGGCTCTTTGACCTGACCCTGAGTCGTCATGCTCCATTGAACAAGCCCTCCCAAGTTGCATTGTCAGGGCTGCACAGTTCCTCTCTTTTTCTCGGTAGAAAACGACGCAGGGTTTCGGGGAACCTAGGGATTCCCTTAAAGGAAACCAATGGACACCATAGGGGATGGTTTTGGTGGGCTCACTCCCTTTCTCATTCCCTGCCTAACCAGCAAGCTAACACATCCAGTGATTTTTGCGTTGCCAGTCTGAAACAAAAGTCCAAAAGTCCAAACATATACTACATGTGAAGCAAATGGGAGACTTGCTGATGATCACACTCTCCAAGACGTCGATTGCTTCCAACGGCAAAGCCAGTCCACTAAAATGGCAAGCTGTGGGGTCAATTTTCTCTTCAGGAATTTTCTGGCAGCTGCCATGTTAGGAGGGAGTGTAACACATCCAGTGATTTCCGCTTTTTTGCCAGTCCTGGTCGCCCGCCTGAAAGCTTCCCACCACCAGGGCCCAAGCCTTGAAGTCTCGGAAGCCGTAGGCGGTGGCATCCGTCGCCACGCGGCTCACGGCGCCGCCCAAGGGCAGCATGATGATCACGGAGCTGCTGTTGGGCGCGCGCTTGCCTGGGGCAGTGGGCTTAGGGCTGGTTTTGGGGTAGGTTTTGGGTAGGCTGTGGGCAGGTTGAAGATGGGCTTGAGGCTTTAGGATGGTTTAGGGTTGGGAAAAAGATACCTGTACCGCGGGAAAAAGGAAGAAGGATGCCCCATCTTCGCGCATCACGATACTGAAACAAGATATTCACCTAGTGCCAGCGAATTCCACTTCTTTGCCTTACAGGAAAGCGCCTTGGCCAAAAAAAGAGTAGCCCTGGCGTCTCTGCTTAGCACAACCGTACCAAAGGCGTTACCCTGACGATTTATGTTTGCTCGGGGGGACATCAGGGCCACCCGAAAAAGGGCCACCCGAAAAACGAGCTGTCGAGAACATGCGCGTGCAAAGTGCCACGCGGCCATTTCATGATAATGCCATAGCGTCCAATTCTCACATGGCTGTGATTTTGCAAAGAAACCCTCGAAGTCTTTGAAGTGCACAAACACATCAAGCCCAGGACCCACATTTTGGGTCAAACTCAGTGGCCATGTTGCTGCTTACGCACTCGGCGACCTTCTCCAGAGCTTCGGGGCTGATGTCCGGCAGCAACACCCCGGTCTGGTAGACCGCGGTGCCATCACCGCCGGGATGATTGTATCGCTGCACCTCCACACCATTTGCCAAATGGCCATGGGTCAAAAGCCAAATCGTACCCCCAGTGATCTCAATCCCAACAAAAATAGGTTCTAAAATGGGTGGTAAACCTACCAACCAAAATGGGATCCCATTGGCTTTGACCCACAGCCAAATGGGTGTGTGTTTTAGGGGACCCCCCAAAATGGTGCTTAAAAACCACCAAAAAGGGCCCCCTAAAGGACACCCCAGATCGAGTTCTCGAATCGGGCTGGATCGGGAAATCCCTCAAGAGCAGTGCTCAGAGTGTGCAGTAACCCTGTGGCTACTTTTCTGGCGGAGCATGTTTTCGCCTCCTGTTTTTCGGCGCCTGTGAGTGGTACTTCGCGATGCCCATGCTGTTCTCCAGCACGGGCCAGCCTTTCGCCTTGGGCTCGAAGTACTTCCGCCCCTCCTCGGGGTCGCCGGCCCAGAGCAAGATCTCCACCGCGGGCCCGGAGCACGGCAGCACCAGAAGCCCCGTGGCCTCGTCCGGACCCCGCAACGTCCTTGGCGGAAACACACCAGCGGCGTTTCAGGAAGCACAAGAAGCCCGGCAACAAAAACCAGGCTCAGACAAGTAGGCGTGTAAATAGGGACTTCCGCCCCCCAAAAAACAAGAGGAGAGGGTGGGTGTCCCTTTCAAACAATCCAAAGAATGATACCAACAAAAACGAAAACACCCAGAAGGGTGGGTTTCCTTTTGGTTTCCCTTTGAAACCACCCAAACAAAAACATACCCCCAAAAACAAAAACAACGAGGGGTGGGTGGGTTTCCATTTGCTTTCCCTTTCGCGCCACTCAATCAAAAATATACCCCCAAAAAACATTCGAACCACTCAAACATATTTTTCTTCAACAAGTGCAGCTGGAGGTCTTCTCGAAAAAGTGCATCGCCACCGCCTCGCGGCTCATGAAGGGGCCCATCCCCAGCGGCACGTGGACGCGCTTGCCTGGCGCTCGCGCGCGCGCGAGGGCCTGAAATCCCTTTTGTCCGAAGCACCGGGCTCCAAAGCGCCAATGGAGGGTTGACGAAATATCCAGGGTTGTTCAAATTTACACATTTCTTCGGGGAAAAAAACAAGAGGGTTGCCCAAACACCCAGCTCTTGGGGGAAACTGAGGCAACCGCCGAAATTTACGAACCCAGTTTTTCCAGTGTTTTATTTCGCGTTGTCTTTTGAATTTGGAGCATATCTTGTCAAGAGACGGCAAGGTGACGTCCCGTGGGACGCTGTGCACCGAACCCTCCAGCTGTAATACCAACCACGTAGAAAGGTGTATACGGTCAAAGCCGTTATAGCCGAACCCGTGTAAACGTTGTAAGGGAGAAGGAATAATAGTTACAACAGTGGTCCTGACAAATGCAGCGCAAGCGAAGTGTTTTCCGCTCTCAATGCCGATCACGTACGAACGCAGCTACACATAAGATCTTGAACCTTGATCGTGTCTTGAGCCAAAATGGCAATCAATGGAACTTGGTAAACAACACAAACACGGACCTCAGAACTGCTTCCCAATTTAGGCACGGGGCCTGGAGGGTTTTAACATCCCCCATTTGGGTCGCATTGTTCATCATGCGGTCCAAACACCACAAAACGTTCCACTGGCCACGGCTTCAGCTACGAAACTGTGTCGTGCACTCTTTTACTTGCTATCGCTACACCGTTCATTCATTGTGAAACATGCCGGGTCCGATCGATAAAAAGAAACATGCATCCGCAGATCAGCACGCCCCCATATGCAGGTGTATACAATACACTATTGTCACGTCATTTGACCACCACTGAACATCCCAGCTGCCGCATTTGCGCATCGCGCAGCCGTCATCCATAGGAAATGGGTTGGCCATAAAAGTTCAACAGAGGCGCCTGCTCGTAAGCAATCTGCATATCACCGGCAAAGAAAATATCGGTGAGCAATCAATGCAAATCATAGCCATTCCAGATACCATGAATAATATATATAATGAAAAGGGATCGTCCATGAGGTAATAGTTCCATCCATGAATATCCGGAATGTCATAGTCGTCGGAATATGTAAACGTATACATATCCATTCATCTTGGACGCATGAAATCATATCATGATGTAAAGTTGTTCCATCGCAATGACGTTGATGAGACGCAAGCAACGGATGGGGACTAACCCACATCGTGCCGCAATCAACATCTGCATTACGCATACCTGTCCCCAATGGACAGTCGGTGAGTGCGTCGACGGAACTCCTCGTCCAAATTCTTTTGGGCTTCTCGTGCCCGGACACACTTCTTGTTATGATCCTCTGGTATCCAATGCCCTTTTCGGAGGCACCAATCCAGCAGAGGTGTATCGCATTTATTCGGATCGATGGCCGCAACAATGGCGCTCACATTGACCGAATAACCATATTTGCCAAGGTTCAGGCCATCCCTCACGAATGATATATACTTACAGTTGAAAGCCAGTGAAAAGCATCTGAAAATAATATCACCCACCGGGTGCACGCGGTCCTTGACCAGGAGCTTCATTTCGTCCTTGGTGACGTCGAGGATTCTCGCTGCAATCCACAGCTTGTAGAATGTGTATAATCCCTCGCACTTGCACACCATCATACGAATGTAATCTTCACGCTCCTCAGCCGACCGGAAGACCCTTGTCCGAACATTCTCGGATTGAGAAATCTTCAGTACCGTTGATGGTAAAAGGATTCCTTCCTGATGGTGCTCAGTCATGTTGGGGTACCTCTTGAAGTCGTTGTGGTAAGGGCAGCCCGGCCTCCCCTCGAGTCCGGCATTCAACGTTCTCTCCTCACCACCTTCAAACATCCCCCACATCTTGGACATCTGCAGTGCGATGAATCCCGCCATGTATTGAGCCTCGCGCGGCTCATCAAGGCAAATCGCCATCCGCTGGGAATTTATGATATCCCGTGATGTCAAATCAGTGTCGCGGTACTGCCAACCGCCATCTTCCTCCTCAGACACGTAGCCGGATGTATACCCTTGCGTGTCCATGTCGTCTTCTTCAGGAACTTCCTCCGCCTCGTCATCATCCTCCTGTGCTGCCGCATCATGGTTGGCTTCTTCTTGTGCGCGCCTGGCATCACCCGAGACATTGGGCTTTTGATTGTCCTCATCGTCGTCGGAATTGATGTGGATGTAGAACCTCCCAGTGGAGATCAGTTGCGCTCCACATTCCAGGCATAAGCAGAAGCATGTGGGGATTGCGGTCGCACATGACGGACATATCCGGCACCTCAGTCCTTCCCATGTCTCGTCATTCAGGATGACGACTTTGCTGACCTCGTCCCTGACCTCGTTGGTCTGCGCATCGAACTCCTCCATCTTGTTGTCCCGATAAAGTTCGCATGCACGATCGACCATGTCTTTGATGTAGTGCAGATTATCGGCACCTGCCTCGGTCTCAGGGATCCTCTCGTTGATTTTTGCGACGTTCTGGAGGAACATCGCAGCCGACTCTTGGGATGAGTTGACGAAACCAGGACAGATCTCGTTCTCCACACATTTCGAGTACGCTCTCTTGATGTCGCCGTACTCCAGGCGTTTCCCTCCGTTGCTTTTGCCAATCCAAATGGACTTGACCTCATAGAACGGGATCACGTCAAAGGCCATGAATGTCCCATTTGCCGCGACTCCAGCTCCATACCGCGCGAGGGTTGCACTGGGAATGTAGATGATCGCAATCGGATCCCCCGTCCTTACGTTTCGTAGCGTCACCTTCGTCGCTACGTTCATCTCATCCCATGGAGCAAATGCTCCGAAGTGCAGTGCTAGCCTGTTTCCGCCATCGATTCCGCCGGGGACTAGCCCCAGCGTACGATGCTTGGCAGGTTTTCCACATACGTCACATGGAATGCTCCTCCGAGAGAATCACCCATGTTCACGGAATACCTATTTGCCAGTGCGGATGAGCTCATGAATCCAAAATCACTGTGACCAGTTGTGACTCGGATGCACCAAGGCCTGTACCATCCATCGCATCTGTTGAACATCCTGTCGATGTCATCCCGATCCAGGCCAGCCTTGGTCATCTCCTCCCTGGCCGCCCTCGTGTCATTCGGGTTCATGATGCTTGGAAACCTTGCTGCCAGGACCTGAAATCTCGATTTCTTATGTCCGGACTCCTGCCACTTGATCACCTCCATGATGCCCATGTATCGTTCTGCTCTCGAGGTTGTAGGTGGAAATATGTCGTTGTTCCGGTCGTCAATGACTGCATCAATGTCGACCCATCCACCTTCGTCGCATCTGAAAACACTTCCTCGGCAATTGCCGATTTTGTGCCGAAGGACTCTGCATAGGTTGTGAGATAGCTGGTTTGCTTGATCTTTCGTAGCAAATACCGAGCGATCATCGCCAATCCTGCATAGTGGAGCACCGTCAAAAGGAGCAACGCAGAAATTGACGCTCTTGCCAAGCTGCATCACATCCACCTGCTCAAGGTTGGCACCTTTGGGAAAGTAACTGGGGTCAAGACTAGACGCATACGCCCATGGCATATACACGTTACTCACGTCGCCATACTTCGGGATGTAGCATGGAATGGTGTCACATCCTCGCTCGAGCGTCGTCTTGAATGTTCTGTTGTCCCCGCACGGATTGTGGGTGAGGTCCACGCCACCGCATTGTAGCTCTCCTCCCTCAGCCGTGTCAGCCATCTCCACCAGGTTGATGGTATAGCTATACATTTCAATTGTTTCTTTCCCTGCTTGTCCTCCTCTCTTGCGTTCCTTGGACGTTGATGAGGACGGCTCTTCCGTATCCCCCATTTCTTCATCTGAGGAAACAGGATCACTGCTGAGTAGCTCACGGATCTTCTTCATCGCCTTCTCATTCCCAGCAGCCTCCTCATAGTCCTTGCAGTCGCCGTCGTGGGCCAGGTTCGCGCACTTCATACAAATTCCCATCTCTCCCATGCACTTCTCCATTGAGACCAGGAATCCGAGTGCTGCTCTCCGCCCATCAATCACTCGCTGCTTCTTTTCTTCCTTCTCAGCGTTGGGCTGAGAGCTTCGGCTCGGGTCTGGTGCTTGACCAAGACCGTCACCTTCGCCCTCCGTTGCCTTTCTCTTGGATCCTTGGGTGGCGGGCTCGGTCATCAGGGATCGCGGATGTCTGGGCTTGATCTTGTTCATGATGTCCAGCACTTCTTTCGTGGGCGCCCCGAGTTGGGCGGAAGGCTTATTCCGCTTTCGGTTCTGGCCCGTCGTGTGGCTCACGTTCCCGACGAGGTGTCGTACGATTGACTGCTCGAACTCCCTCTTGATCTTCCACACATCCTTCCACAGCGGGAGTTCGTGCTGAAAGTACGACATCACCTCAAAGAACCCCAATATCATCTCGACGACGTCCCCCAAGGATTCCTCATTCGAAGTCTGTCCCAGGAGGTCATACATCGTCCCCTGATCGAGCACGCTCTTGATCCAGGATGAATAGGCCACGTTGCCAAGATCCTTGTCTATCATAAAGATGGAGGTCCTCTCCTCAACTCCCTCGGAGTTCTTGCACGTGATCACATCACGGGATGCACACAGTTGCTTCCCGTGACCGTTGTTGTAGAACTGTGCTGCCTGATCCATTGTCATGCTCACGAAGCCCACGTGGGATAGCTCCTTCTTCAGCTTGGAATATGCGAGTTCCCGTATAATCGTGGTCATGGCCTGAACGTTGTTGACGTCCACCATGAGGTTTTGAAGATCAGGGATTGTAACCACGCATTCTGCGAAAAGTCGCGTATACAGCTTCCTCCCTTCGGTTGATCTCACAATACCGTTCGTGTCCGCATTCCAGTTCGCGCAACAGTTCACGCAAGAAGTGGGATTGAATTTTGAGTTTGACCCGAGCACCTTAGACTTGTTCATCTGCATCTCTCTCACACAAAGTTCGCAGATCAACCCGCTGAGCTCGGTGACCGAATACCATCGAAGACGTTGATCATTGACATCGGTGTTCC